GATTCGTTCTTTTTCTACATTTCGAAATCTCAGTCCATATTGTGTTACATCTATGCCAGTAACTATATACGTTATCCCACATTACTTATTGAACACATATTGGTAACGGCTGTGATACTGCAATTTTCCCTCAGCTTAATCAGACTTAAAAGATTTCAAAGATAAAACATAATGGCGTCATTCTCATTATAATGGAATCCTAGAGAATAAAATATATTTTAAAGCGTTATGTATTCATTCCGCTTCAGAACTTTTACAGCATTTTAATTTCATTGTAAAAAAAATGAGGAAAGGAATTCACAGAAAAGTTTTTAGTTATTTTTTTGGTGAGCTTCATTTTGATTTATTCATAAATGTTTACGTCTGATCTAAAATTCTGAAAGAACTTCGGATGCTAAAAATTTTAAAGCGGATTTCAAAGATCAGCTTCAAAGACAGGTAATTACCAATCATAATTAGGCATTTTACTTTTTTACTGAAAGAGCATTTATTGCAACTTTTTTTAGCAATAACTGTAAGTATTGGCATACGAAAATGTTTCACTTTTCCTATTGCAAAATATTTATTGGTAGGCCGTGTCATCAGTCATTGGAGTGAATAGATGACGTCCCTTCCTTAATAGACTGATAGTTCGGGTTTTGGTTGAAATCAAAAAAACTGAATGAACAACTTCATCAATCATTATTGTACAGCTCAAGCCAATACAATTTATGCATATAGAAATGTTCAGAAACCATAATTTATTGGTTAAAGAAATGGACAGAAGTGCTTTGTACTATGTTGGAACACGGTCTGGTGAAGAGATATAATGTACAACTACCGCCTACAACAATATTATTCTATTCTAAAAATGATTATAAATAATCATTAAAATGATAAATGAAATATCAATGGAGAAAACGAGAAATAGATGTTAGAGAAAGTGTGATTTAATTAATGAACATAAGTTTGAATTAAGTATTCCATTAAATAATGAAAGGTCATAACAGATTCAAATTAGACATTACTGTAAACTCAGTGAATACACATTTATGCGAAAGCGGTTGCAGGAGCCAAATTAAGTAAGTTGAGTCAATTTTTAAACTTTTTTTTGTCATTCACTCTACCAGATGTTTCAGAATGATTCCAATGGTTTCTAATGAAATTTGCATTTCAATTATTGAAATATTTCGATACATAATCGGAGTCCTTTAAATTGTCACTTACAGTCATTTATGCCCTGCATATCTCAGTAGTTGGCGAGAAATTGAACAGTTTCTGTAAAGTCTTTTACATAGAATGTTCCAATAAATTTATGAAAAGACCTTAAGTCTGAGGATTATCAAAAGAAAAGACATCTATCTACAAGGTATGACAAAAAAGATGATTTCAGGAATTTAAAATTTCACTGTTTTTAAAATTTCATTGCTACAATAAAGCTATTAATAGCTGAATACTGCTGCCAATCAGTTAATATTGCATTAAATTTTTAAAAAGCATAAATTTTTCTAAAAAAAATGAAAATTTGAAATGTACTACTGCCGTTAAATAAATTCAACAATTTTATAATTAAGACGTATACTAAATTAAATGCTTAAGTGTAACATTCCTTTTCATCATTAAAACTCATTCGCCACTTTTTCAAGATGAAATCACATCCGGTTTTTTAAGTAGTTTTCGGTAACTTCTACTTAATTACATTTAAGAAGTGTACAATAGGGAGTAGAAAACTTCCACGTCTAAATCCTTCAGGTTATCAGCAAATGCTAATTATAGCATGAAATATATTGCATTGAGAATTTCTTCATTGACCCATAATTTCACGCACGTGAAGCATATAATATGACGTTTTTAAGACTCTGAAAATGTTCTCCAATTAGAGTGTCCCATCAAACAACAAAAACTACTAAAATATTGTATTATATAATAATAATGCATAATTTTGTTATTAATTCGAGACTTTATGAATTTTTCTACAAATGCTCATATAGCACTTTGATTATTAACCATCGTTGAATTTTAATTTAAATTCTGGTTTGATATTAGTTTGATTTCTTTGCACACAACAAAAATTTGTGTATTTTTGAGGAATAATATAAGGAGCATATATAATGAAGCGCACTTTGCACTTTCAGATCCTATAATTAAATCAAAATAGAAGAAAGAATATGGGATGATTTCGTTTCAGAAAAGAAATGGAAGATTAATAAGGTATCAGAGAATCTCACCGTTATTTATATTTTTGTCATTAATTTATTTTGTTTTTCTGAAAAAAAAATCAACTTACAAATATTAAATGACAAAACGATTGAATTTTTAAATAAATTAAGATCGAAGGCCAGATTTTCCGTCTCTTTTTTTCGTTTCAACAGTTTAGTGAAATGATTAGTTTCCATAACAAATTCAATGAATTTACGGTATTACTGAAACGGTAAATGGGACAGTATGCAAAAAAGACTAACGAAAATGTGTTTAAATCTTTCCAGGTGCTTTTTAACAGAAATAATTCAAATAGCTTGCTCCAAATTATTTTACAAAAGATCCAAATTCAAAATTTTCCTGTAGAGGAAACGATTCTTGTTATGGAAGAAGTCTAACTGTGATAATAATCAATAAAGTGCAATATTTAAATATTGTAATGGAATAAATAATTACGTATAACTGTCAAATGCAATGAATGAAATAAATGAAATGATATAATTGTTCTGGGGGAGCAGTAAATTGAAAAAGCTTCCGCATAAAAGTAGCGAAAGTCAGTAAAGTTATTAAAACTGTATGCATTTCAATGCCTATTTGTGCTCGGATTTTAATGAATGATTGTTAAATATTCGTAGAACCTTTACCTTTAATCCTATTCGCATTTTCTTATTTATTTAATGCAGCCGTTTGCTGTGATAAGTACAAAGTTCCTATACATGCCATAACGATTTTGAAAATCCTGGATGAATTTTAAGATACTTTTGCAATAAAAGAACTTTAGATTGGAAGATCTTAATATTTGATCGCTGAGACAGACAAGGCCTCGTTATTAAACATGAACTTTCTGCAGGTTAAAAAGCAGTCAATAAGCTTTTCAGAAACATGAAGAAAGCCTCTAACAATACAATCATATCTTTTCTAAATAATTCGACGTTGTAAATAGTGGGATACAGATTCCGATAGTGTTTAGCCAATCTTTCTTCGAGGAAAGATAACTGAACGATTTGATTAGAAGAAACGACCGGTTCGTTTATTCTTGTAATGACGTTTCTCAGTCGACTTGTCCGTTGTCGTTGTTGCCCTCAAAGATTTTAAACAAAACAAAAAGTATGTTATCATTTGGGGTGTTCCTTTATATGAACTGCCATCACCACCACCAACAATAGTGTAAGAGCCGTGCCTTCCGCCCTATCCTATCATTGCTATGTGTAAAACGGTACAGTATCCCTCTAATTCCACCCTCCTTCCCACTCTCTCGTCGAACCGTATTATATATTACATAAACCAAACCAGTACGCCACATTACCATCTGTCCCACTCCTTCCTCCGCCTTGTCCCCACGCATTCCTACCACCTACCATCTATGCGTTTTAACCAATCCACCTCCTCTTTATACCATGTCAGTTATCTTTTCTAAATAACCAAATATATTCTTTTTTTTTCGAATAATTGTCAAACGTTAACCGGTCGAAGTCTTTCAAAGAGGTTCCTCTTCATTCACGCACATTGCTACTCTGATCGAAACTGATCTATGAGCTTTTGTACTTTACTTTAGCAAAAGAGGTCTAATAGAACAAATTTTGATCGGTTGATTAACACTTTAACTATAGAAATGAAATCCCCTACAATAGGGAGAGATAAGAAAAAATTGGCAAATTAAAATTTATATGTTTGTTTAAAGGGTAAATTAAAAAATGAAAAAATTTAGTTTAATACAACGAGTTGTTTCACCCTTCCTTTCATTAAGTTTATCATCCTGTCACCTTTCCCACTGATGTCAACTTCTCCATAATTTATCGGCAAAGCCTTAGCTGCTAAAATACTTAATTAACATTAACTCATTCAGAGAGACTGAAGTTTTTTTTTTTGAAGGATAACAAATCAATAAATGTTAAAATTTATTTAATTCGCAATGTTGAAAAGTGCTCAGAAAATGAAAAGATAAAAAGAAGAAAGTTCGCAATAGTGATATCCGAGTGAAGGAAATTATGTACAAATGAATTAAATATATGCAGTGAAATATTAAAAACATACTTAAGATTCAGAGAATAATTAACAGAATAGGAATAAGAAGCAGAAATTATATTAGCTTCAGGAAATAAAAATTTAATTTAGTCCTGTGCTTTTATTGAATAAATAAATTTTTGCATGTGTAAATAGGCGGCCTTCGAAGATCTTTAATTTTTCGGATTGCTACAAAGTGCAACTAATTGAATTATTAACGAATGGTGGACGAATAAATTCAAATTGAAACTAATTTGTAACTGAAAGAGGAACTTTAATAAACAAAATGAATGGAGAAATTACATTGCAAAGAGTTATGAGAAAAATAAAAATGTTACAATATCATTTTAACTAAATGTTAAATTATAAATTCTTCAATGTGCAAACTAAAAACAATAATAAGAGATGGATCCAAGGTATTAACTTTTGTAAAAACTTTTCAAAAACATAGTATCTCATATAATCTCATATAATTCATGAAAGGTCTCATATAATTTGTTTATTAAGTTGTGGCGAAATTTGCTCTTGTCAACAATTTAAGAAGAATGCCAAACCGCTCATTACAAATAGATCTTTTAAGATTTTGAAGTTCGTAAGGATAGTGTCCATACATCATTATTTAAAACTGATCACTTTCAAAATGCGCATAATGCTTCACAACAATATTTATATGGATCGTATCATCTCGCATATATTGTACGATTAGTTGATCATACTTAACCCTTGAACCATAAAAAAGTCATATGTGAGAAATGCGCATATGGTAACCTTGAAGTGATATTCCATTGAGATAAGAAATTGTATTCTTCAAATGATGTGAAATGCTCCTTCGTTTTCTTACCTTTTACGCAACCATTTCACAACTCAATCAAAATAGAAGCATTTGACTGAGTTGAAATTATGATAAGCAATTAACTAAATGAACCAAGCAAGCAATGTATTTAAAAGATTTATAAAAAGACAAAGAAAAAGGAAAGATGGTGAAAAAATGAATTCATCCTTTTCATCTGGAAATACCAAAATAATAATAAGCGTATTAATTATTATTTCAAATATAAGAAATCCGTTCATTTATCAAATACTCTCTTCCAAATAATGTGATTAAATGATTCTGCACAATGTTTGTTATGATTCTGATTGTGCATTATTTCTGATTATGATTCTGATTCCTTTAAATGATTCTGCACAATGTTTCCAGTTTTTAGCAAATAAACAAAATATTTAACTAGGAAACTATAGCAGTGAACTGTTCCGTTGTTTTAGGTAAAATATTTTGCATAAAGGAAAAAATATTCATGTAAAGGATCGAAATATAGCTGCCACTATATCTAGCCAATTGTTCGCATTATGTAATTTAGAGTCTATGCTAATGTTACAAGATAGAATGAATCCCAAATATACCCACAACAAATAACCGAAATAAATTAAATAGATTTTGCATAAATTGCTGCAGATAAGAAGTTTGATAATTGAAAATAATTTCTTGTGGCAATTGTCATTATTATCATAATTTATGATTATATATACATACCAAATAAACCAAATATTTAACGAGAAAATTATAGAAGTGAATTTTTTCGTTGTTTATATATATATATATAATGCATGAAAGCAACATTTTCTTCATTCGCATTCAACAATAAGCCAAAAATATAATCATTTTTTAATGATAGCTTAAATAGTTAAAGAAATAAAAGCCAACACAAAATCATTAACAAACATTCAACAGATATTTCGATATCCTATTTTGCTATGAACAACTCTTTCTTAAAGATATCAATATAATCTCTTCCTAACTCTTAAAATATGATTTGATAGTAATTATTAAAATCACAGCTCCTTCTGAACATTCATCATTTTTTTTGATCATTAATTTATTTTCTGCTTCTATTCATTCATCCATTGGAGTAAAAGTTTCAGGAGTGCCTAAGGCATTATGATAAAATTCGCTGCTTAAAAGAGCTAAGGCTTTATCAATTAATAGTGTCTAATCTTCACCTTTCTAATTCATTAAAATGTTATTTTTATAAATATAAAGCAACAAAAGTGTCGCGAGCAAATTCTTTGGAAAAAGAAAAAAGGGTATAAAATTGAATGTGTTTCGAGGACATAGCGATGGTATGGCTGATCACGATGCATTTGACAAATGTACACTCACTGAATCGGTCTTTGGGTCCCACTTAAAGTACATTTTGCCTACCACACGAAATCGTACAAGAACTTCATCCAGTCAGTTATATAAACAGTAGCGAATGTTGGAAGTTTTCTGATCATTAGAAGGAATTACCACAACGTTGTTAGACAAACATCGGTATTATTATTAATAATAACAGCGATAATTAATAATAATAGAAATAATAATAATAAAAATATAAATTATGAAGTGTTCTCAGTTCAATCATGTTTTTCAGTTCAATGATGAATTTAAAATTTTGTCAGCTTGTTTGTAGCATTAAAATAATTATGATAGCATAATTACTGCGCAAGCATAACGATCTATTTTAGAGGATAGAATGAGGTTGACTTTCTTTGTGATAAATAAAAACAAATTGTACAAGGTGAAAATTGGAATTAAATAAAATTTCATAAAGTTCCAAAAGATTTTTAACTTGTGAAAATGAAACATTACGTCTTCAATAATACAATCATGTGTACGGTATTTTGGTCTTCTTGTAATCATAAACGAATTACTTCAAATTCATGCAGAGGCAATGAATAGGCCCAATAATTAGTTGTTTCTTTTGTTGAAAATGAACTATTTATTTATTTTTGCACTTTTTCTGTACTAATTGAATTTTGTGATTATTCAATTTTATTTAACTTTTTTTTATTTAAAAAATAAATACTTCAGTGTACTCTGAAACGATTATACCTTTTTAATAAATTCATAATGTTTAAATATTGAGATTGTGGAATGTATTTCTTAATGAAATCAAGAAATACTGAAACTGCTCAAAGAATTGTAATGGCATTTCTATTTGGTTCAATTTCACTCTGAAATTAACAAATTCTTTTAAGAGATTCGAGTTTTATGAGCATCAGTCCTTTTTCGTTGTAGAACTACAGAACTTAGATTAAGTTAAATAGTTCGTGGCAGTCTCAGATAAAATTTCAATAGTATTTATTCTTTAAAAATATTTTATCATCCTTTCATTCTATTGCATATATCGATCAAAATATATAATGATCAGTTGTTTTAGCTCATGATAAAACATCTTCATTTCTCTCTCTCTCTGACTGAATTCTATGCCGCCGAATGTTTAGAATTAGGCAGTGAATTTTCCAAATATATTTTGAAAACAACGATGTTTATTAGTGATACCAGCAATCACAGTTAGAGTGGAACAAAAAACAGAAAATGGTATGTGAGAATAGGTAGATAGAAAAAAAGACCTCGGTAACCTAAAGAGTTGATAATAGTATTATCATTATCAACAAGAATTTAGGTATGGAGTACATTCCCTATAACAATATTATCGCAGGGCATATTGTTTTTAGAAGTATCAATCTGCAAAGATTACTGTAAAAAGATAATTGATCAATGTGCTTGTTGTACGATTTGATTACAGCCAAAATTGATCACAAAAACCTGGCAATTTATAATTGCTAGAAGTTAACTAATTCACAAATAAATTGTTAATGATTTTTGCTAAAATGAAATCACTGAGATGATTGTTTTCTAATATTCTCATATCATTCATATCAAAAGGAATAATTCCTCCCTTATACAGACAGCATAATTGTATTATAAGAAACAATTGTCAATTAAGGCATAGTTAGAGATTAGAATCAATTTTACCACTAATTAATTAACATTCTTCACTTTTAAAAGTACATTCCATTCTTTCATACAATAGTTTAAAAATTTTCAGGTTTTTTTCTCCGTTATTTTCAACATAAAAAAGTATAAAGTTGTGGATGACCTTTAATTACAAAAAAAGAAAAACTTTTATTATTATTAGAGAAAATGCCTTATTTGTCTAAAACATTCACTGTGATATTTTGGTGACAGTATAAAGAGTAGAATAAGCAATATGAAAGAGGAATAGGAATGCAATGTGTAAGAATTAAAAGTGAAGAAGGGAAAAGGGAGAGAGAGAGAGAGAAGCAAAGATTAAGAGTATTGAAGAATATTCCCGCCTTCCTACCCGATTCGAAAAGTACAACTTTTTCAATGACATAAATTTTGTATATCAGATCATAGAAAGCGATTGTTTTTAGAAAAGTACCTAAGTATTGTTTGGTACTTCTCACTCTCACATTGAACTGAATTCATAAAATTTCTTTCTCTCTCTCTCTCTCTCTCTCCCTGTTACATGTATGCGTCATGAAATGAGATTGATGAGAGACAATTGGTTAGGCTTGCTCTCTCTCTCTCTCTCTCTCTCGGCTACAAAACTGGTAAATGTTTCTGGAAGTTGTGGTAAAGTAACGAATACCTTAAAGATAATTCATTTAGGAAATTTGGGAAAATTAAATCCCTTTACATAGTAATATAGCATGGCGATTTTTTTCCTGTTCCTGTAAAAATTCCGTACTTTTTTGATTTTGCCACAAAATATATGAAATAAGAGCTGAGAGTCGGAATTACTTTATTCTTGGCTTCAATGAATGGCTGTATTGACCCAATGAATGGTTTTACTGATAATTCTTATTCAAATAAACTAACAAAATTTTATAGATAATTTGTGGGAGAAAAGAGAAGAGAGGTTAGTGATTGAAAGCGGATTAATTTTTCCACTTATTTTTGTCAAATTGATCATGCACATTAAATAAATCGATGTTCAATGTGGTGCTAGTTACGGTGCTCGATTAAATTTACGTATAATTCACTGTCTCCCTCTTTTTCATTCCTGTAATGTCTACTTTCTCGTCTTTTTTTTCATTCTCTGACATCCGTAATTCAGTGCTGTCGGATTGATTCAGTTTGTGAGCTGGAAGCAATCTTATTGGATGACCTCAATTGTTCAGCGTTCGGTAACTGAAACAGGAAATCTCTTAACTAACATTTTTTTTAACATTGAAAAAAGATGAATTTCAACTTTTAATTTGCCAATAATATGAACTAAATTGAACGAATTTTCTTCGAATACTGTTGGAAAAAAAAGAAAGAAATAATTTGTTAAAACGAAAAAGAAACTTTTGTTAAAACGAAAAAAAAAAGAAAAGATTCAAATTATTTTTCCGAAGAATATTTGGCTATTGGAAACATTTAGCTCACATTTCGATCATTATTGATTACTGAGCGTAATATTAAATCATTTATAGCTGAAAGAGATTATTGATAAATGATAATTATCAACAGTAATGTTAAATTTCAGTTTTTCAAAGTTCGCATTCCAAATTTTGTTGCTGCATGAAGAATGAGTGAATGAATGAATGAATGAATAAATGAATAGATGAATGAATGAATGAGTAGAAATGAAAAGATATCAAAATCCATACATATATTTTTTTAAAAAGAAAAGATGAGTGAATGGTAATGAAGATTAACTGTTCATTATTTTAATCAAATGCGCACATTTTTTAATGGCTCCATTATAAATGAGCCGAAGAATCACAATGAAACAAATGATCCCTTCGAAACAATCTCTTCCTTAATAATATAAAACTATCATTTCTCATTCATTCAATCAACGATAACTTTTTTGAAAAAATAATTTTTACTCTTGAAGGACAAAATGTATCGATTATGAAGACGGTAGAGCAAACATACATCATGATTATACATCATGATTAAGTTGTATATATATATAATTTACATAAATGTACACCACACATATACACGCAAGCAATTCCAAGAAAACTGCAGTGCTTTTTATATAAATGTTGAAATAAGTGAAACGATGTTATATACTATACGGCTTTGCGTGTCAGCATATAAATTCAGGCACGTACTTAGGCATGGATAATAGAAAGGGATTCAGGAATTAAAGCAACAAATTGCTCACTGTTTGTGGCACTCTTATTTGTTATATGTTTTTAGTATATTTTTAAACTATGCGTTTTAAGAGAAATATCCTTTTATTAGTTCATGTTCATATTTTTCGTTGTACATATAAACTATTGAGTCAATAATTTACCTATAAAAGTTCAATATCTCTCAAAAATTGTAAAAGAAAAATAATGACTCATCAAATGTGATAGCAATATCAGAATTTTAATCATTTTTAAACCGATTCACGATCAAATAAATACTTAAAGAGAAAAAATTCTGATAACTGCAGAAGTTGCGCCTAAAAATTCTTTAACGTAATTTTCATCTAAAATTGATGAATTATAGAAAAATCAAGTTGAAAAAAACATTCTCGCTTAATATTTCTGTGAACGATATTTCCCTCAATTTGAAACGAAAAATTCATTTCAACATTTTGTAGTATTCGTAAATAATCATCTAAATATATATATATATATATACATATACATACGTGTGAAATAATTTATTTGTTTAACATAATATTTCAATTCTTTCTGAGAAATACAAAATTCATCTGTGAGTAATATTAGATTTACTGATAAAGAACAAAACAATATATCGAAATGATTTCATGTAAACAAACTTTCTTGCACTATCTCCGAAACCTATATAAAAGACGAAATTCCCGGTGTTCCTGCAATGAAACAAGCATACAGAAGAATTACAGAATATCATTATCTATCAATGTTAAGTACTGCAGGAAAACAAAGTAAATGAATGAATGTGTCATCCATACCAATGTCAGGTTCGTCCTCTTCGCAGCTGCTATCTATATAAAATTCAGTTTCATTCAATACTGCCTGAAATTATTATGCTCTGGAAATAACTGAACATGAATATCATATTAAAAAAAAATTATTTTTAAACTAATTTTAATTCTAATGAGCAAAATTTTACAAGTCATTCAATACTAAAGAAACTGTAACATAAATGAAACAAGAAGAAATGGCTGGAGTAAATGATATGAGATTTGGATGAAAAATAAAAAGTCATAATTTTGGTATATCGTAAATGTGTATGTATTTCAATAACCTGTAAGCTTGCGCCACATTTTAAGCATTTCTTCTTGACAACATAACAATCAGTACAATATAAATTGTTGCAATTAGGACATATTCTTGAGTTACTGAAATTGTAATGCATAATGAATGCCACTATTGTGTTCTGCATATGAATCGCATTTTTGAAGTAAAAACTCTTTGCATTGATTTTCTTTTTCGTCATGTTATCCTCATTATTTATCATTTTTCATTGGTTTCAATAGTATTCACATTATAAAGATGTTAAAATTAAATTAAAAGATCTTGAAATCAAATAAAAAATTATTTCTAAATTGTTTCATCATTCAAATTCATTATTGATCCATTTTTCATTGTTATCCTCTGTAGAATTCGTTAATTTGGATTATCTATTAACCAACAACCTTGCATCAGCGATACTAAGATCTGGCCGAAAACATCTTGTACATTTGTACTGATCAGTATTCAATATCGTCAAGCCACGATTTACAAGATTTCCTCGTCCGCTAATTTCATCTTCAACAAGCTGATCTTTGAGTTCCTTAAATCAATTTTTTAACTCTTTAGATATTCATTTTATGATTGTAAAGATGAGAAGCAACCTTTTCTTTGGCAGTTTTTATCAATTGTGTTAGGATATTTTTTCGACCTTCGAGAACTTGGTTATATAACCATAAAGTGCGTGGTTTTGTTCTTTCGGGCCAATAATACTGCGCAATCAAATGTCGACATCTTGCTACATATACCTAGGAATGGGCACCTCTCATTACATTCGATTTTAATTAATTGAATTTTGTACATAAATGCTCCTAAGGAGCTTTCAAGCATTGAAATATTATTAAATGCTTATTTAATAATATTTCGATCCTTCAAAATTGTGATCCCCGGGAATGATAAGAGTTTGCAATTAGTAAAGTTTCATGACTTTACTAATGACTAATTGCTTTCAAAATATAGGAATTTGGTAATACAACAGAAATGAGATCTGTTCATAATGCAAGTTCATCTAGAATAGGATAAATTGAATTTATCACTTCAAATATTCCATTATAGTTTAATCAGTTGATTTAATCAATTGACTAAGGAGTATCCAGTGTACTATTTAATAATGGAATCTGTAAGTCGGCAATTTTAAGAGATAATAAAATAAAAAAGTAATGGAACACTCGTCCCTTAATCAATTTATTTTATTCGACATCAGAGAATGCAATAATTAGTGAGTGAGTGGCTTGATAAAATGATTGTTTTATATAAAGCAATTTAAATTAAGAGATAGATGATTTGATCAATTCTTACTTGTACAGCGCATAGTAAAAGAGCAATGAAGTATAACAGCACCATTAGTCGAATAAGCTGAAAATCGGGTGGATTAGGTTCAGTGAAACATTGTCTCCAATCATCATCGCTATGTTCACTTCCCGTAACCGGATGAAATATTTGAAGAATTCTCTGCAGAAGTTTCGCCACAAAACCTTCTCCTGCAGCCTAGAAGATTTGAAAATATTTAAAATAAAGAAAGTAGAGGATAACGAAAAGAATGAAAATAGGAATCAAATATACTTTAATATTGTAGAAATCAAGCCGATCTGTGCGAGTAGCATTAGACTGCAGGAATGAATAAGTAAAATAAAGCATTTGATAGGTAAATACATCTAGTAGTATTAAAAAAATAGGCATAAAACCGCCAATTAATGTGATCGCAAATGCAAATAGCATTCTCATTTTCTCCTTTGATGTCATATGTAGTGTGAATCCCTCAATATACTGCAACAAATGATGTAGTTTATATAATTTTCGTATCTTTTAATTTCAATTCAATTATTTCCACTCATTCACAAATTTTTCATCTTCTTGAATATATAGCGAAATAATCGATATCTATTAATTGAAAATAAGTTTGAGAATTTCAACCAGCAAAGCTTCACTAAAAATCGAAGTTTTATATTACTATCGAAATGTGAATACCAAATGAGAACCACTCAAATAAACTAACTTTTTCGCGTTCTTTTGGTAATAGTGGAAGTAAAGAAGGCTGTCCTTGTGCCTCCCGTATCATGTCAACATTTCGAAACTCTTCCGTAATGTAGAAATTATCCGCTTTCTCCTTCTGCTTATACTTCATAACATATACTAGCGCCTGACAAAAGCTATATTAGCATTTGCAAATTTCTAATTTTGTTTCACACATAAGGGTTTTGTTGAAATTTCATATGACTAATGTACAATATAATGTATTTTAAAAAAATGGTCCTTTAGATCTTAAAGTAAAAACAAGTAACAATATGTGATGACTATGAAATCACAACAATATATAATGTTTACCATAAGCAATGTTATAATGATCAAATTGGGAATAATGAAACTAATTGTTGTAACCAAAATGTCTACAAAAATTTGGAACCGATTCAGAATTCTTTCCAATTCTTCCCTAAATTAAATAACAATAAGCATATTGAATATGAATAAACACAGAGTAATTATATATATATTGTGCTTCTTACTTCATTTTTCCAAATTGAAATGTTTGTGTACGATTGCTTTCAATAGTATGATTTAGCGAAAACCCTAATTCATCCCAGGATTTTTTTGCCGCTTTCGCCTCTTTCTATAAAAAGATTTTGAAAGTCTCATCGTATTCCAGTTATGCTGATGGATAAAAAAAATCCACAAATGATATTTAGAAACATTACTTAAACGAACTGTTTTTCAATATTTGAATATTATAATGAATCATTTCAACACTTCTGTAGAGCATCAAATAAATATGCTATATTTTTAAAGAGAATATAAAGAGATGAGATAGGTTACCATTTTAGCAAGAAATAAATCATAAATTAGAATGTTTAAATTACGAACTACTAGGAAACTAATATTATAATCGTTCATAACAGTATTCATAGTAGTCTTCATTTTATCCTTCGTAAATGACAGAAAGCCGGACTTCAAACTTTCCTTTATTTTTTCCGGAATATCACAAACCAGCTCACCAAATCTTGCTGCATCACAAATCTAAAACATAAGTATATCAAATCATTAAAATCAAAATCTCTTGTCTTTCAACCTTATTCCGCTATTGCTTTCAAGTTAACATGCGTAGAATATGGGTATTTAGAATTCCGTACTATGATCTGATTCATACTTGCCACCATTTACTGCAAATGTACCATTATCTAAAAGATCAGTGACAAAAAAAGCATTGTGAATAAAAAAGGACGACCATTCTCATATCCTTCACGAATTTACAAACCGGTAATCCACGATACAGAGTGAGCCGATCACAATACTGAGCGCTCTCATCAAAAATTCGAAGACACTGGAAAATGCATTTTTTGAAGAAGAATGCTCACATTCATTGCTAAAATTAGTCGCTGATTTTTATCTTCCGAACTTCTCCGCCTTTTTAGAAATGATGGCACCGTCTGCTTTTAATGACCTTATATTATAAAAATTTACAAAGTAATAGGGACCAATGAAGAATCGCTGGCAATACTCTTTCACTGTCAGCAGTTGGACCAAATAATCCTTCGTTTGTTTACCAAAACTAAAAATAAAGCCAAAAAGGAATTTGTTAAGCAACAAATGTTAGCAAGAAATGTTGGCTAAATGGGAAAGAGTTATGCTTACTTAACGACAATATTTTGCAACTTTCGCATAGTATTCCAAAAATTTTTAAGATGTTCTATGAAAAAACGACCTTGTTCTTTTAATGCTGATAATGAAAGCTGAAATAAAGAAAAAAAGATTCAAAAAATCTTAAATCTATCTTATTAAAATGCAGTATAGCACAATAGACATTTCCAAAATGAAAGATAATCTAAAATTTCGATATTTTGTTTCAAATTTATGATATCTTATCCTGATAGTGTAGAAAAGATGTTATAAACAAATTAATTCGGTTATTAATAAATTAATCACAACCTTATTAGTTTGCATATTAACTTCAGCAATAAGTTCGTTGCCAATTTGAATCGCTGAATCACTCACACAAGCAACAGATTCTGCGAGCATTTGCAAATTACGAGTCGTATTAGTTGCTGGTATCTGCAGATTACAAACATTTACAAGTTGCCATTCCATCAACTAATATATTTATACCAATCTCAAAAACAATCCATATCTTATCAAACCATTAAATCAATCATATCCTTAATGCTTTATCCTTTTTGTCTTTTAAATCAAAGTATACTAATTGAAAGTACATTTAAAAAGATTGAATAAAATTGTTGAAAGAGGGAAAAACTAACTTGAAAAGCCCACATCATTATAAACATAAGAATGATGGAACGAAGCCGACTAGTGGCTAATTTGATTATGGCAATTAGAATGATAGCTCGAATAGACGAGAATGGTATCATCAGACCCAATATTACTTGCACAACAATGCTCACATATACTCCTAATCTATAATTAATTACCATAAGAATTTAAATCCTTTCCCATCATTCTCCATAAAAATTACAGATGAACTAATTCTACAACTTTTTATCATTGTATATTAAAAATTCCATTGAACAGATTATTTCGATAGCGCTTTTTTTTTGAGTTACCTGATAAGAATAATGAGCAATGAACATTGATAAAACTAAATTTTAAGACTTATATTAGCAAAAAATCATATGTGATAATTTAATGAAAAAGAAAAATTGATACCGACTAGGAAAGATGGAATATTTGAGGGCAAGAGAAATAAAGAAAAGTAAGCCAACAAATTCACAGAAAAGAAAACTAGATACAATGCGCAATAGATCATTCTCTCTGAAAACAAAAACCAATAAGCTGAGGATTAAAAAAAACGATAAAAGTATGATTGAAAATGTTGGAAAGAAACCTGGTACCGTAAATGAAAATTCGATCATAAGCATTACGAGGGATTGGTTTTGGATTTGGGTGAAGTGGTGGAAAAATGATACCACATTGCATCCAAAACTCTTTACCTACAAGTAAATCCTATTATATTGCTTCTTGGAATTTTTCAGCAATGATGTTAATATGATGACTTAACGTTTATCCACAAGAGGTTCCTCTCCAGCAACCGATCGCCGGCAATTTTCTGCAATAAAACGCAACTCTTCCACTTTCTTCAATGCCCTCTGCTTTGGCCTATGTAATACGTTTATCAGCATTTTTGAAATCCCTGGAATAGAAGTGCTGCAACATTTAACATCAAGTCCGCCACCGTCAAATAAAATTATGAATTAACTTCAAAAATTTTTGAAATACAATAATTCAGCATGGATAAACCGACCAACAACGCATCCGCACCAAAAAGTGAACTTGGCTCATTAGCGTGAGATCCACAATTTTAAATCGTTCAAACTGATTTTGCATTTTATATAGATATAAAAGCACTGTATTTAGCATTCCCTGCTTCCATCACTTGGAATCAGCCAAAGCATTGATTTGTAAACTTCTTGCTTGCTTAAAGATGGAAATTGGCGAATTTCAGGCAATTTCATGTTGACAGGAAGAATTACCAATGCTAACAAGTTGTATTTTAATCCTTTATCTTCTGCGAACTATTTTCGAAACATATTCAACATACCACATAGTACGAAATTATTCCTATTGCATTAATCCAAATAAACTCTCAAAGATAGGTAGCTCCGAAATGACTCCGTCAAACATCATATTATTCTTAACAAAGAGATGAGGACACTGTATGAATTTAGACTTACATTATACATTTGAATATATGGATAAGCAACGTTTACTAGGATTACTGTATGTTCCAATATTTTTTGTGCTACCCAACTTTTGTTTTTCTAGACTTAAACGACTGCGCTCATTTGAGAAATCCAACTGGCTGAATATTAAGAAATACGATCTTTATGCAAGTAAAAAAAATTGGTGTATTTCACATATTTTTTCTTGTAGGATTTTGTTTTTATAATCTCCTTTAGAAGAACATGGTTATATTTATTACTAACAAAGTAGCTTCCAAGCAACAGCAAGAAAAGAGATAATGACTGGGCTAAAAATAAGATCAACTGCAAGCATTTTGCCACGATGTCCGTTCTAACTTCTCGTTTAGTGCTGTATTCCAGTGATCATTGACCGGATTATCCAGGTGATTTTCAAAATCCATGATTTCGAGGTATAATTTCGTCTGTATGGCACTGGAAACGATTGGCAATACTGTTTCTTCGTTCATTATGGTAAATCTGAAATTATTTTCGCATAAAAAATCAGTGATAATACAAACCATTGGATTTCCCAATAATTATATAATATATGTAGTAGAGAAATCTGTACCACGAAATCTAATGTAATATTAAGTTAACTTTGCGATTTCACTATCAAAAAATATTTGTCTGTGAGAAAGCGGCAATAAAGACACCTTTTTATCTTCCACATTTTGCTATCCAGAGTATAAACTCGAATAGCAGGTTCTAAGGATCCTGTGCCAAGAAGGGAATTCTCAATCTGTAACGCACATTTGAGATATTATTGTAGCTTTCATAATATCTTTTGTAGATCCTCTTGTATAAATCATTTTGTCAGGATGTCTCAGTATAAAAGACCTCATAACTTAATACTTAATCAAAAAGCAGATGTGAAGGAAAATATACCAATAAACATTATTATGTCTTAGAAGGGTCTAAGCGTGATCATATACGAAATAAGAATGGAGATGAAAAATCAGGAAAAAAAGGCGTTAAAACTAACAATAAAATTTTTAAAAACTTATTTATCACCCATATCACTGTTAAGCGATAATATAGTCATCGCAACAATCCTATGAGTAGTTATGCTATCATTCGAAGAAAGAATACATTATTTAATATTCTCGGTGATTTTGATGATTATAAAAACCACTTTGCCTCCATTAATTGATTGTCATAATAATAACTTCTCATAAAATCTTCAAAATAAAAAAAGAATCACTTGGACGAGGAATGCGTTTGGATAATTCGACACAATTTTTTCAGCTACTCGCATTGCATAGGGATCAAGACTGAAACAAATCTTTAAAAGTCAAACTCAAAGAAATATTTTCATGCAACAAGCATTTGAAGGAAAAAAACTCCTAATTTTTTTTCTGAATCTAATATCTTCTAAAAGAAATCTATGTTTACCTATTGTCTGAAAGAGACTGATTACAAAAATAGACCCCGACAAGAGTACGACCATCTTTAGTGCAATCATCTGTACATATCAAGGCCGTTTCCACAACCATACTTAAAGAAGCGCTCTCATGTAACACGGGTATAGCATCATTGCATATCAATTCATTGCTATTCTAAAAAAAAAAAAACTTGATATTAAATACAATTCCATTCTCATCATCCGAACTCATTAACTGATTGACTCGTCAATCACTACAGTTCACAAACCTATTCCAATATCAAACCTCCCTAATGCTTCATTAAACTTACTGCCATTAGTCACTTCGGAAATTTCTTAAATTGCATTAAAATAGTAAATTAAATCCATAATTTAATGACTTTCTGGAGTTAATTAGTTGTATGTTCTAGATGTCTAGAACATACAACATACAACTAAAAAACTCACATCTACAAATGTTTCAAAAATTTTCATTACCCTGGTTTCTCCGATAAGAAGACCAATAACTGGTTGATGTGGATATTTGTAAGCGTGCAATATCATTTTTGCATAACCACACAAAGTGAATGCTGGTGAAAGCATCCCTAAACATCGCATGAAATGATCAATACTACACTCTAAATTCAACATCAAATGCGGCTGAACAAAACCTAATATTTTACGTGTCTTATGCTCAGATCTATATTACGTTTCAGATATTATAAAGAAATCTATTCGCATTAGTATTTGTTTCACAGAAGACGACAAAACAGTCTAAATATAAAGAAACCATATATATATGTCCAAGCAAACATTCCCTCTCCCTCACCTCCAATGGTCCGGTCTTAAATTTTTTCTAATTTTTTCTTTTTTCTAATAGTTTACATGCTATCACACTGTATGCAGTTTTAACAAAACTATATACATGTCCAAGCAAACCATCTTCCTCTCTCATATCTGATTTTTGCGGCAAAGTATAGAGTAACTCTCCAGAATCAATCTTAAATCGAGTAACTTCAAAGTGAATTTGACACAAAATCAGTGATCAAAATTTTATCTCTCAATAAAGACAGAAAAATCTGAAAACTTAAACAACTTGGCAAATATCAAAATAAACATGGTGAAACATATACGCGATGAAAGTTTTCCTGAATCACAAGGGAACTGGAATCATTAACTGTATCCATAACAATAACTTTTAGTTCTGCAAGCTGTCGGAAAAATGAAATAAAGTTATTGATGTCGGATACTTTAAGTTAATTTGATTAATCTAGCATTTATCAAACTGTCAGAGGGTATGAGATATACCACTCGATATTAAAAAAAAAATCAATTAACAGTCGTTTTGGATTATTAAATCAACAGACACATGCTCTTGATAAACTACCTTCAAATATCATTAGTTTAACATATCAAAGAAGAAACAGGAACTTTCCTGTTTCTCACACAAGTATTTTCCTATTGTGTACTTTAGCTATCTTGAAAATTAATGGACAAAAATACCAAAATAAGAATAATGATGATGACAAGAAATGCTATACATTAGCATTCTCATAAATTTAAAATCAACGAGCTAACTAACACACGTGGTACGGCATTTTTCAAACTTAACAACGTTGCATCTTCGCTTCTCTGAACTGCCACATTCCATATAAATACCTATAATTTACTTCAAATTTAATATCTAATTCATTACGTCAAAATTAGAAAAACAAAGCAATCTTAACCCAGTTAAAAAACAGAAATCATACGGGTAAGGAACCTGCTCAGCATACAGCGCATCCGCCTCCATTTGCTGTCGTCTGCGCATTATTTCTACTAACTTCTCATACTTCAGTTTGACTTCCGAAATTTCCATTACTGGTAACTTTTTTGGTTTCACTTCCAAAAAACCGGTGTTGAATAAATTCGTTTCTCGAATCATCCTCACTAAGACAACAATCCATTAAAAAAAACTTCAAACATAACAGGAGTCAGTCAGAATTCGGTATGAAATTCGAAACTTGAGATTGAAACTTCTTCAGTGATCACATAAAAATAGCGCATACTTGTTGAGAAGGATTCATGACGTTCATTTGCTTTTCGTGTAAGCATACGCATTACTTCGCTTTCTGCTTGCATTCTTAGTCGTTCACGTTCCACCTTATAAAGTAATTTTTTGAAATAATCGAGTGACAACAAATTCATATAATTTTACAGCAAAAATACTAATATTATTACCTGATGATAAATTTGCATATTTCGCCTTCTTTCGTCCTGCTCAGTATAAAGATTATGGAGTTTTGTCGTTAACTTTTCCATAAACACAGCATCCACTTTCTGAAAGCAGCTGACCATGACTTTCTGAAAACAGCTGACTTCTGCAGTTTTTTCATGGCAAAAACGAACAAGCTTGAGACAACAATTTACTGCTTTAAAATAAAGAGTTCTCTCATTTGCAATTAATTTTTATTATTAAGAAGTATTGAATTAATTTGATATATTCGAAAAAATAACTTCCTGAATTGACAAAGAGCCTAGATTACTTGCTGATGTGTAATTTCCTTGTACAATTAAGTAATTATTAAAATTGGGTGGGCTTTCTGGAATAACAGTCTGTTCAGTTGCATCTTTGGCCCAGCGTTCCTCAATCTAAAACAATTCGCTTGGGAATACTATAATATATTGACTGGAATCAATCAACCAATAATAACAAAACTGAAATTCCCTTATAATAAGATTCGAAGTCTTACTACAGAACGGAAGTTTCGAAAACCTTCATAACTGTTCTTCTTCATTAATGATAAAGCCAATAAATTATTTTCATCATCCTTCTGTGCAGTCGCTTCCAAATGTGAGTTTTCATCGCCTGTAATTTTTCTAGCATATTCAGTAATAAGAATAAATCTGCTAGTAACTAATAATGGTTAATACGTTAAAAGATAAAAGGAAGTACGAAAAATAACCGTCAGCTCTATCGCCAGCATCATTGCTAGAAGTCGTCTGTTCATCGGAAGTTGCCGCTGAGGATGGGGGCATTGGTGATGCAGTAGTTGTAGAACTACGTCGCCAACTACTTGATTTCCTCTTTGCTGATGTTTCATAGCTGACTGCAGGATGATCCCGAAGTTGTCTTCCGGATTGTCGAAGTTTGCTTCTAAAAATATTTCGCCAATTTTATTGCAAGTTTTCATGCCAAAAAATAGCTATTGTAACACTTCATACAAACTCCAATTAAAATCAGTTTAAAATCACCTGTATTTTTATTTCGTATGAAACGAGTGATACTTTCTATTTGTAACGAATTTTTGTACTTGGAAGCAATAGATGTCAGGAAAGTCCGAACCTTGTAACTCGTTGTATGCTCTCATCACAAATATTGCTGATACTTGGTTCAGGGCTCTGATGCTTGCGAGTAAGACTTTTGGTACTTCTAGTATTTCGTCTTACAGTATTCGTCGTAACTGACATCATATCATCCGTAGCACTTGCTATACCATCTTCGGTGGGTGTACGGGGTAAGGATATGCGAAGCGGAGGTACCTGAATTAATTAATAAAATCATAAGAATCTGACTTCTTTGAAGTATATACATGTTGCTTTTAAAAATGAGTAGTATTTGACTCCATTTCTCATTTAAGACAGGAAGAACTGAAAAAACTATTTTTAAAGAAACAAGTTTGATTTTGAAGATAAGAGGCTGAGGTAAATAAGAACTTTTCTTCTATTCAGATTTCATCTATCAATACCTTAACATAACCATTATTGATTTTACAACAAAAATATGATTTTGCAACAATAAACGATCAGTGCATCAGAAAAGCGTATTTTTTGAAATCTGAATCACCCAACTATCTATCTGCCATTCCAAAGTTCATTTTCTTCGGCTACAGAAACTTCAGCCATTTACCACAATAAAAAACAAACATAAACATTTCTCCAGACACAATAGATTTTCGTAATTTTAAGATATACATATATCAGATTAATGAATGCACCGCTTTGTATGATAAAAGACTATCATACTTAGACAAAACTATGATTTAGAAAGTTACCTTGCGACCAACCGCTGCATCAGCTTTTTCATCCGTCAGATCAGATAAATTTGATATCACATCCAAAACTTCTTTTTCCATTACGGATATATCTTCTTGTGTAGTACCTAATATTCACAACAGATTTTCTTTGAACTTGACCTAAACTCCCCAAAACCATATTAAAAAAAATTCTTTCAAGTCTCTAATGCATCTGATAACATTCAACATAATTGAGTAACAAATATCATGCACAAAAAATACTTGTTTGAGACGAAATTGTAGTCGAAGTGAAAGAGGCCGTAGTGGTGGCTCCAGTCTGACTAAATCGCTGCCTCTTCAGACTCGGCGATTCGCTCAGTTCTCGTTCCATATCTTCAGCAGATCCTGTTTTCTGCAATTAAATTATAAGAAAATCTCATATGACCGATTAAATTGAACAGCCAAACCAAAAAAAATTGTATAAGTAACAGATATAAATCATCTCAAAAGTATAGTTCCTTTCCATTCTATGTCTATTATATTATTATACTTTAGTTTCGAAATCAATTATTCATTTAATATTTTATATGAGTTTGATAGTAAAAAGAATTAAATTTCTGAAAACGTCAATGTGAGGAAACTGAATGAAACCACAGATTAACAATGCATGCCGTTCTATGAATTCGAAAAATACAATGCACGCCGTTCTGATGAATTCGAAAAAAACGTTTGTTGTATGCTCTTACTATTTCTATGATTTCTTTACTATTAGCATCCGCTGGTAAAATGCTAAGGATGCTCACGCTGAATTTAAGTTCAGCAAACTGATAAGGCGCTATCTAGTGAAAACTTCTTGCGTTTCACTGCCATTTGTCAATTATAACCATTAGTTCTAGCAGTGCTAATACTGTGAAGGCGCAGCTATTTGCTGGGAAACCAAAAACATATTCGTAAAGTTTTCCTAAGATCAAAATCAGTGTTGAGAATGTGCATTGCAGATTCCCGCCAACCAAGTAATAACAAAAACGCAATAAAAAGCAAATCGTGATGAGTATGAAATCAATCATGTAGCTGGTTTTGAGATAGAAGTATATGACGACAAATCGTTAAAATGAAATATCAAAAGGTTGGTAGTTGTAACAAACGCTGAGAGAAACATTGAGGTCACCCAACGGACAATATGGCATGTTAATCTGCTTAACTACCTGTTCTCTTCTTCCCTCCACCTTTCACTACCATCCTCAACACAGATACATGATGTTATTCACAGTTGTTTTTACTCAAAATATTAAAGTTAAAATCAATTTTTTTAATCAGTCCAACATTACCCATACTTTCAATGCTACTGCATTTAGATATCTTAGCATAATCTAATCGTTTTTTTCCATCCTTTCAATTAAGACTTGTTATTCTCAAACTGAAAAGTTTATGCACAAAAAACTTCTTTCGATTATATCGGAAATAAAGAACCATTAAGCAGTGAAGACAATAGAAAGCTTACATTTACACCTACATCGGATTCAGGACTGCTGCGAAATTCATACACATCATCGGACTGAGATGTTTGAATTGTAATAGTTGCAGAACCTGCAGCTGTAGAGATACCTCGTCCTCGTCTTCGACCTCTATAACAATCGAAAAACATGATAAACCGAAAGATGAAAATTTTGATAACGACAGTAAAAAACTCAGCAATTTTAAATCGAATTCCAAAATAGAAACACTGAAAGCTATTGATCAGATATAGAATGAATGACAGAAGATAACAGAGACTGGTTGAATTAAGTAGTGGAACTACTAACCATATTTTTGATCGAAATGAATAGGGAAAAACTAAATTAAAGCTTAGAAAACATGTCATAAGTTTAAGATAAAACCGGATAGAAGTATGCACCTTTGTTTACGTTTTTCATTACAAACTGATTTTTGAATGGTAAATTGGGGAGAAAAACATTCAGTGTGTATGCCACGATGACGTCCAAGATGGTGAATTTCCGCTTCCTTTGATTCACTTATTCCAAAGCAAGTATTCTCAAATGAAAGATGCGATGATGTTAAATCATGGTCAAATTCGTACGGCGAAGAACCAGTATGCAATGCAACGCTTTTCAGTGTTTCACTTCTTTCTTCAGGCCATAATGAACGATGCATGGGAAATGGGAGATCGCTGCAAACAGCACTTTTTTTCATTGCAAATTACGATTTAATTCAGCAAGAAATTCAAATAACATTTCAACTACAGAGCTCTAATAAACATATTTAAAGTTAGTTAAACATACATAAAAATAAGTATGAACTACTAACATCTCGTCAAAATCATGACGAATTACGGCTTTCACTTCTTCATCTCTTGATATTATATTGTTAAAATCGAAAACCTGAAAATTAACCACTAAATTATAATTTAATTGCTGAACCTATTTGATTTTTGAAAACTTTGTGCTCAATATATCAATTAACCTTTTTTTCAATTTGTTTAAACTGATGGCATCAAAACAAAAAGGAAAATGTCAAAAAGAAGTGATGAGAATATAAAACCTTTGTATTCCTATCTGTATCGCCTCCTCCATTCATCGGTTGGCTACATGACCCTAAAAAACCACTGTTAAAGGTAAACGGTGAAGGATATATTCATGAATGTCAGCGGAAACACAGTCATTCAGTGATTTATCTTCTGATAATAAATAGTAGTCCGATGACACGAAAGAACAAGACGTATTAATTTACTAGAAAAAATATTCATACTCAGCAGTCAATTATTGTTGTCTATCATTTTGTTAATATTAATATTGATAAATGAATAAATATCGACAATAGCAAGTAATATTAAATAACTATACTCCAGTACAAATCAAATCAAACAGTTCCATTTAACTTATACAGGCCCTTACTTACAGCAATTCCTCTGCTAATCAATCCTACCAATCATTCTGAACGCAAAAACAAGCATATTGATGTTTGATTAAGTTAATATTAATATTGATAAATGAATAAATATCGACAATAGCAAGTAATAAGTTTTTCTACAAGACAAATTTACTAATTAACCTTGCAATTGCATTCCCAGCTCTTCACTGATTCCTTTATTTCTCTCTCTCGGAAAAATTTCTGCACTGGTTACAGAATCATCACTATTTGATGATGTCAAGCAATGCTTTTCTGGAGTGAGATGCATTACATTTACCGTGAGCATCTGGGAAGGACCTTCCTAAAAATTTTTATATGTACACATATCAATACGGTACACTTATACAGCACACGAAGAAACACACTTCTCGAACTATTCGATATCAGAATCTTAAGGCTTCTTCCCCTATCAAGCACTTTTTTCAGTTCCTTTTTCTCATCTTCTAATTTACGTTTCCGTATACTGCCATCCCATCTCATCAAAATAAAACAAATCAGCCACATCTCCTGTAACAGCGGCAGGACTCAGTATTTTAGTTTACAGAGCTCCTATGCATTTCATATGAGGATGAATTGACTAAATGATATTTTCAGCTATAGCAAAATTATAAAATTACGTTCTAATTTCCATAAAATTCACTGAATTTATCCGACATTTTAATCTGAGGACGTGACAATTATAAATTTTTTACTGTGTGACTTGGACTAGACGGACTCAAAGAAGGTGACTCGTCGATTGGATATAGTTCCGGTATGACAGCCGTGGAGAGAAGATTCCGTATTCCACTATATTCTGAATGACAGATATCAATCGGCTTTTTTCCATCATTATCAACACGATCACGAATTGCACCCGAATGTAGCAACAACCAAACTAACTGTAAACAAAGTATCTTTTTACTACTGAAAAATAAAAGGAAAAAAGGCAATAGAAACACTTAAGCAAAAAATAAATTTCAAACTTATAAATCTTAGAAATTATAGGAATTAAAATTTACCTTTTCGTTTCCACTCGTGACTGCATCATGTAAAGGAGTATCATCACAGTCTGACAGCGCATTAACGTCTGCATCGTAGCTGAAAGTCATTAAAGTTAGTCAGTTCATATTCTGACAGATTGTGCAAAACATTTATATTGAAAAACTAGCATACTCGAGAAGAAGTTTAGCAACTTTGAAATGTCCATGATAACATGCTTCATGTAAGGGAGTCCAACCAGCGTAATCCCGAGCATTAACAAATGCACCTTCCTCGACTAACTTCTTGCACAATCGGTGTTCTCCTTTACGTGCTGCTACATGTAATGGTGTTTCTCCACGCTCATTCTTTTTATGAACCTTTAAAATATTGCAATAAATATGACCGATAAATTCACTGCTACCGGTTCAATAACAATATGAAGTGTACAAAATAAGATACCTTCGAAATACGCTTTCTTGATAAGCCAGGTGACGCACTGCTTGATTGAGGTAACTGCGAGCTGATTGAAGACGAGTCCGTCGTTACTGGGATTGGCTGCTCCATCTCAAAAAGTAGTAAAAAAAATTGCAATAAAGTGCATCCATTCACAAAAACATTTTATACAAAAAGTTTTACGTTTTGAGCTCTTATTTTTTTCTGCTGAGACTTCCTTTTTATAATGCAACAAGTTTTTATCAAATTGAGACCATACAGAGAGATTAAAACAATGCATTTTTCAAATTTACAGCTTATTTTTTCAAAGAAATAAACAAAAATTATTAAATATTAAGAGATAAACTGTTCATCAGAAAATCGGAGAATTCGATCTATCAAAATAATATTTGTTTAACAGTTGTGATTACAAAATAAAAATGAAGTACAACAAGGTAAGGACTTATCCATTTTTTTGAGGCTGAAAATTAAAGACTTGAAATAAGAGAGTCGAAACAAGTGTAAACTGAAATAGAAAAGAAAAATGTCAACAACAAGCAATTTTCTGAAAGGGAAAATGATATGGGAATACTTATTGACTCTTTGAGGTTTACAAAAAATATCTTCTCTTCTTTATGCCTACTTCATTTAATTAACAAAACCGTTCAGAAACAGACTGACTTCTACGTAAGATTATATAATATTTGCAATTTTCTTCATAGTTTGCTCATTCTTTTAATTTGTCCTCTTTCCTTCCCCCAATATGTTTTCTAATAAAACATTTTGTGGATGTTAAACATAACGTAAACTATAACAAATTCATTATATGCTCCATGATGAACAAATTTTGACGAGGTTTGCAAAAATCAGAGAATTTGATCGGCGGGGAAAAAATCGAAAGCAGAAAGAATGTAGTAATAATAAAGACGGCGAAATGGCGAAAAAGGATGCAGAGAATGAAGGGTAGAGAAGAAAGTTATACGAGTTTGGCAACAGTTGGTATCGCAGCAACAGCTAGTCACACTAATCGAAATACAGATGAAAGCACTAGCCACATTTCCCATAATTCGAAAAATTAAATAAATAGTAATGTCAGTTTATACAACTAACACTATTTGTTGATAAGGTTTCGATCGAAAATGGCATTAAAAAAACAGTCGTCTGAGAGAGTTAATAAACAGCTGGAAGCCTTTGCGAGATTGATTGCATTAGCCTTCAATGATTGAATGGAGAAAATAATGTAGTTGCTCTACATTAATGGATCATTATTTCAATGGCTATAAAGTTAACGACAGTACTAAGAGTTCAAGAGAAAATATCAAAACCGTAAGTGAAAGCGCTATAAATTAAACCAGATCTTAAACATTTTCAACCCAATGCCCAAAAACCAGAAGAGAAAGGAAACATTCTTTTAGATATGCAATTTAAAAACGTTATTATAAAGCGACGTTTAGGAACATCATTTTTTAACAATAACAATACATTATAAACTAAAGTTATATACCAAAGGAATTTCATTCCAGGTACAACCAGTATAAAGAACACTTTATAATTCACAACTTTCCAAACATTATACCTTTCCAGAAATCCATTTACCATATGACAGATGTAGATGCCTTTCCACATTTCAAAGTTGCAATTTTGTTATTAATTTTATTCTGATAAGTGTTACGCAACTTTTCTTGAATTAAGTGCTAATCATTTAGATAAGCTTTCAAAAAGCATAATGTTTTTGTCATAAAAAAAAATTAGGTTTTATCTTGAAAAAGTTTTTCAATTTTTAATAAGGAGAAAAGACATTATCAGTGTCTCACAGAAAAAAGTAAATGCACAATTAAACCTGTTTTATAATAGCTAATTGCTGGCGTATGCTCACTGGATAAGCTAGCAGAGGTGAGCTGTGCGCACGTTGTGATCCACTGCTAGCAAATGGAGGAGTTTGTATCGACGGTGTCGATGAGCCCTGTCGCTGCTTGGCTCCTAGTGTTCGACGTCGTCCAGAACATGAAACCAAACATGTTTGTAAAGGAAGTCAAATATTTTTATTTGGAAAAAAGCGATAATTCGAAGCTAAATATATTTGAAACGCATTTACAAGGATGACTCAATTAATTTTTCCTCCCTCAATATAGTTTAACAATACAGCCATATTGGTGTGGTTGAAATGGGACTGAATTATAGCCAAAAATTTCTTGACGCAATAATAAATGAAAGTGATGATATGACTTCCGCATGACTTGAGGATTACCTCTCTAAATATATCATATAAAAAATATGAATTCCAGTATTTTGGTATTTCATTTTATTTTAATGGACAGAACATGCATGCTTTCATGAGTTGACAATTCATGAGTTCCGACAAGTAATCTAAAATAAGCTAGAAAATATTGACTTGATGATGTTTCAGGGTGAGGATCTTCATTAAAAATCTCTGATTTTAACAAATTGATACAAAGAACTGAAGATATACTATATAGCACAATGAAATTAATACCTTGAAATTTTTCAGACTCACTAATTACCGACGAAGAGCCATCATCGGATAATTCTAAATCACACAGCGAAAACTGCTGCGTCGGCTGTGCTGCACCCAAACCGTCAAACGACATTCACTTATAAGTTGCTTCGGCGTTTTGAAATTCCATAACTTCAAACTGCAAAGCCTTACAATTCATATCACTATTGAACAAATTAGAATATAAATTTGTTCATCAGAATATTTTTCATAATACAAGATGAGAGTGGATATAAAGCAGCAACATACCACATAGCAGTAAAATCAAAAGATTAGTTCCTCAGCCCATACTGATGCCAGCAGGAAATATCAGGAGAGAAGAATTGGAAAAAATTGGACCTCATTTTTTCCTTGAAATATATCCAAACCGTAAAAACTTCTTATTGCATAATTGAATATGCAAATAAATTAGCTGAATATGCTCTACTCAAATAAGTAATATGATGTAAGGATATCATATTCTTTGGCTTGATTCATTTAAATTCTTAAGATCAATCTAGAAGTAAAATAAAGACTACCCATCAGGATTTTCCACTTTCCCCTATATTAATCACTATTACTGAGTGATAATATTCTGATGTATTAGGAAAATCTTGGTATAAACTAAAAGAGCATCACGTGAAAATAAAAAGTGTCACAAGGAAACCTTTTAAGCACAGCAAAACAATGATTGACCAATTTATAAAGATAGTGAGAGCATAAGAATAAAGCGAAAAATAAACAGTATGCATAAATAACACATAAGAATGTATAAAAAAGAAACTTTGGGGTCAATATGAAAGCACAAAAGACAGACGTTGGAATCAATGATGTAAATATAGAAAAAAGTGTTTAACATCTGAGCGTAAAAAATCAAGGAAAAACTGAACACTAATGGCAGATTATGTGATTTATTATCATCAGCAAATAATCAGTAATCTAATAGCGAAAATAACAAAACCCGATAAGTTGGAACAATATGATTACTTCACTGCATAATGAAACAATACAAAGAAAAGCGGATACTTAAAACGTCATAAATTGAACAAAAAATGTGCAATTTTGAAAATAATTCTACTATTCAAAAATGTTTGTCAAAAAATTCAGAATTATGCATAATGGAGAATTTTATGAGTGGTTTATAACAAATAATGTCCAGAGATAACGAAAATCGCTAATATACATTAAATGAATGTAGAGAAATTTAGCATAACACCCCTAAATTGTACAACAGAAAATACTCGCCAGAATAAAATGTTTCAAAAATGGCATTGGAACAATATGATATTTAACTGTGAGTGATGGTGAAAGTTGTATGTACAATTAAGATTTAACAATTAAAACTTCGCAGCGCTGATTTCAGAAGTTAAAAGCATTAAGGTAGAAAAAAGAAAGAAATAAGTAGTACTAAATCCCATTCGATGAAATATTCCAGAAATGGAAGCGTAAACTAAGGCAAATTAAGAAAGGATGAAAAAAAGGAACAAGTGAAAAAGATATTTGAATTTTACCCGACTTGATAAGTTCTCCATGTAAAGTTTTCACGTATTAAATAAAACTGTGGACGGTAACACACCTTAAACAACGGAAATGTAGCAATAATTAATTCTCGTTTAGGATTACAAAAATTTTTGACGTATTGATTAAAATTAGTGACAAAAATTATTTCCATTTTCCCAATCCTTTAATCTATACAAAAATAATCTAAATGTGCCATTATGACGTAATTCCTAAGAACTATACCACAATACTATGATCATTACATTCCACAACTCCCTTTCTAATAAAATTTCCTTCAATATTGTCATATTTCCCAAAATTCTGACTTTTTATTTTACATCCATAACTACAAGCTGCCAATTCAACTTGCATGTTTCCATATCTGCATAAACTCAAACAAAAATAAATAAACATAACAAATGATATCTCTCATGTGAAATAATAACTGAATAAGAACTTGATACTATTGATTACTGCAATTGAAAATCTGACGTACAGCAAGACAACCTAATTTTGAAAATCGCTAGGTCCAAAGGAATTAAGAATTCTCTTTTAAAAAATTTATTTAGACGCTTCTTTGACGTTCTTCGAATATTCGTGAAAAACAAAAATTCATATACATCGCCTGCAACAAATCTTTACCAGCAGGGAAACTTGAGTATATCTCTTATGTGAAATAATAACATACAAACAACAACATACAAACTGTAAATGTTTCGAAACATCTGCATACCCAACTCCGTGACTTGCTACTTTTCTATATTAGGAAACACATTCGTTAATTCTCGGAAAGATTCGTAAACCACCTGATTACATTGAAGTAATTTTGCAAATTAAAGTAAAGGTTAAGCATTGTTGCACACTATTTCACAGAAATATGAGAAAAAACGAGCTTAGTTCTTGTAGGTTTCGATACGATATCATTTAACTAGAAGGTTTAAAAGTTCGGTTAAGAAGATTTGGAAAACTTGACTTCAGTGCGAAAAAAAAAAGACTCACAAACGGAGTGTTTAATTTGACTGATTTAGGCTTCTTTTGTAAACGAGCATATTCAAATGCAAACGTAGCACCATTATCAACAATTTTGTATTCCAAAATGTCAGTCCAGTCGAATACAAGCTCTTCTTCCTGAATGTTATTTATACTATTCCGGTATTATTATTCACCTATTAAATTTCAAAAATAACCTTCCGTTATTTTTCTGAATTGCAAAGTGATTCCACAGCGAAAATTTGACAAGAATTAATATGTTTTTTCAAAATAATCTTAACTTCTCGAAGAATAATTAAATATCAACCAGACCTGCAGATTACCCTCATAATCACATGCCCTTATGGTCAGCTGAGAAAATCCAACTGACAATATAATATCACCATCTTTACGACTGCCACAACCACAGTGAGGAAAAACAATTCTGTTGTAACCATCCATTGCGCGCACCATATTTAAATACTGTAAACATAATCCACTTGGATGCAGAAGGTTCCAAACGGATTTTTCATTGTTATCAATGAAAGAGTTAAATTATGGTTCCAAGTGTTTCAACGTTACAGCACGCTGTATCATTTCATTCATATACAAAGAAATTCTGTTTCGAAATGTCTTCACATAATAAAATATGTAAAGTTAAACACTAGTTCAAAATTGAGTAACTAAATTTCTTTGAAAAATTATAATGTTTTCTTATATAAAAAATCCCTAATTGAGTATAAAGGTAGCTCAATAATTAGTTATATGCAATAAAAAAGTACTTTATCAGCCCTTTCGATGCTCTGTAATGCTTTTAGCTGAAACATTTTTTCCTTGGCAGATACAAGACCACCATTCACACCTGCAACTGCTTGCCAGAAACATAATTCTTTGAATAACCTATCACTGAAATTTACATATCTATTAGATTAATCATAGAAGGAGAACAAAAAAACAACATGACTACGAATTCTGCATTCAATCAGTGATTTGAGACGATTTCTCAAGGTGCTCTAATGTTAAAAGTTTAAAATGACGATATCCAATTAACAAGATTCCTATACGTGGATTTCCGATGTCACTCAAATGCATTTGTAGGAGAGAGAAATCATTCTGAGTTTGTTTGTCATATTTATCACTTCCCTAAATCAAAGTATAAAAAAAAATACCGTCTACAAAGTTCAATTTCCCTAGTGATATCAAAAATCCATTTCCGAAGGAGAATACAGGATGATGCTGCGGATGAGTAATTTTGTATATAAAGAGCATGTGGATACTCATCATCTGCTAACTTCCGCTCTGTAATAAAAAAAAATCAGTTTCTAAAAACGATTGGTAATTTAATTAGAAACTTGAAAGGACATAAAATTTTCATGAAAATCACTTTTTCTCTTTTTTCTCAATAAAGTTGATTTAGAAAGCATCTAAATAACTTGCGCAAAATTAAATTTCTTCAGTGAAAAATTCGTTTACACCTAAGACAACAAAATAAAATACCGAATCCGCATTCAGTCATTTCAAAGAGTGCGCAGTGTCTACTTGCTTCTTGAGACATATTTAAACGTTTCTGGGTCGCCTATAAAAAGAGATATAAATACTTTTTTCATGCAAAAAATTTCATTGTAAACCTATTTGCCAAGTTAAATTCATCGAACCAAAGTGACTTATCAGATGTTGCCTCTATAATTGATAAACCACCAACGCGTACGCGAAGAAATATATATATATATATATACCGCCAGCGACAGAAAAAAATACAGTACTGGATTTCAATATGAATATTCGTAACTACATCGCCCTTCATTAAACAATGAGTGAAAAACATAATGGAATAACAGCTAAGGAAGGATAAAAAACTACCACATATAATTCTACTGCTGTGCAGTGACGCTTAATATTCAACAGAAGAGAATTTCCATCTGGCAATAATATACGAATATGAACGTCAGCAATTGCACACTCTGACAACGACTCTTCCATCAAAAATTCCTACAATATAGGTAAATTCAATGAAAACTACTCCTACTTCAACATCATATTTGAGTTCAACTGATATTTCAAAAAGTGCACATAACTTGATTCGGTAGGTCATTTTTCAGACTTGATAAAGTAAATGCTTACTTGCATAATATCCGAATCGGCTATAACTCTAACAGCGCAAATTTTTTCCAAGTACGATTCTAGTCCTCGCCGGCGAGCATCCAACTGTTGTTCGGATAATGAAAAAGGCCATTTGCTAGGCAATTTTGGGAAATCAAAATCAATAAATTCATGCTTAAGTAAATTATGCAATTGAACAAATTCATTGTAACGTCGTGATCCAAGATGTCGACCGGCCATATGTACATTGTAAGCAACAAAGCGTTCTCCATTTGCTGTTACTGTCTGATAACTTGGAATAGTAATGGGTAATGATCGTTTCTCGGAATAATCATACCTGTAATGAAGAAACATCTCTAATTAAAAATAACTCTTTTTGTTTTACAAAAAACAAAAACGTGGTTATCTTTACATTCCTAAAAGTATCTTTTCAAGGGTTGCCTGCACGAAGCACAACTTTCTTCAGTGAGACCATTTTCAAAACGCTCTGCATCAACAGCATCCACAGAAATCACAACTAGTGATAAATTATCACCACCATCTTTTATGAGTTCCACAACCTGTTTGTGTGTTGCTCCTTCTACATCAACACCATTTCTGTAAGATATAATAACTCTTACAGGATTTAATATGAACCGCAGTATGACATTAACATTGCAAATATGATGGCATTAGTTTTGATATATTGCACGAAATGGACCAAATCATAACAGATATAACATAAAATTACACTTGCAAAATACGATCTCCCTTTAATAATCCAGCTTTCGCGGCTGCGCCTCCACGAAGTACTGCGCTTACGTGTTGTAAAGGAGCATATAATTCACCATTGATACTTCGTAATTGACCTCCTTCACTCACTTGCCCTTTGACATTGAAACCAAATCCTATACAATGAATGAAGTGGAAAATAACTCATTCGCTCCGCTTGTTTTATAGAAAAAGTAAAAAGTTGCAATTATGATGCAAACAAAAGCAAATTGAGAATAAAAACTTATATTTTAAAATGGAATATAAACCAGTAAAGAAATCATTATTACCGGTATCAGATTTAACAACCGTAACAAGATGTGGTTTAGGATTGAAATCATGTCGCGTTGATACCACAAAACAATCTTCACTTGAATCACTCTCATCACCCATCATGCAATATCAACCACCTTATCATCTGATTTATTTATTATATTGATAACTAAACAATATTCATTCTACACCACACTATAGCATTCTATACCACACTATAGCAATCCTTTCCGACTTATCACCAAGAACAATCCATCCCGATTCCCATCTAAATACTTCGGAAGAGCATACGAAGATTGGTCGATGTGCAAATCAACAGACCAAACATGATGAGTTATAACATAACCTAAAACGGATGGATGGAATATGTAGGATATTTGAGTGGCGAAGAGAACGAAATGTTGGATTTTTTTTTTGACTCATCCGATTATTCATTGGTATTAGAAAAGTTTGTTATAATTGTGAAATTTGAAAATGTTTCGAAGAGGTCGCTGTGCGAAATGCGCTCAACCATTTGTTAATGAGGAAGCTATCTTGGTTTGCGGACAATTATATCATGTAAATCACTTATGCTGTAACTATTGCAATATAAGGATATCTTACATCGAGGAAAGCTTCATCATTGGTGGTATCAAAGTTGCCTGCACTCGTTGCTTTCACAAACTCAGCCCTAAATGTTATGTGTGCAAAAAGTCTGCTGTCAACGAATATGTCATAAATGGTTCGTTCTTTCCATTCATGCTCTAACAACTTCAAGGATGGTAGTTTCTTCAGATAACTCATCTGCAGCGATGTTAACGTCTAGTCGCATCGCTTTCACGAAAACTGCTACGATACGTCTTGAGAGCTTGGGAACCTTCACCTTTATCACTTTTTATCAAAATTCACTATTTACTCTTAAAAACCTAGATTTCAACATCAATTTTAGGCAGATCTCTTTCGGTATTCTTAAGCTTAACAGATTTACTTTTTTTGTAAATTTTAATTAGGCACTGCAGGTGGTCGCTTATATCATCCCAATTGCTTTAAATGTGTCCGATGTCATCGTATTCTGGACGTGGAATATTTTGAAGATGAAGATGGTCGTCCATTAGACAGAGACTGCCTTTGGGGAGAAGTGCTTATGGATCACATTATTCGTGATATTGATAACATCGTTCCTTCTGAATACTGATGGATTCTACACGTGATAAATGAAATATTAATTACCAAAGTATGATTGTCTTTGAAATGTAATTAGTGTAAAATCTTGAAAGCAACTCATGTTCGATCGTTCATTCCTTCCTGAATGATTTGTAAGTCGAAAAAGTACGAAATTCGAAACAACCCTTTAAATGTGAACTTGACATGAGGAATTCAATTCCATTTGCACTTTTATATTCTCGAGAATTTCCACATCATAAAATTATTTCGACACAATTTTAATCTCTAAAACTACTTTGCCTTGTCATTTTATTATCATTTCTATTCATATACCCAAGCTGCTGTTGTCAAATTCCAATCACAGAGTTCTTCTGGTTTAAACCAGTGAGCAATTTCACGTTCTGCTGAAGGTAATGAATCTGAACCATGTACTATATTTCGTCCTGTTTGTATTGAAAAATCACCACGAATAGTACCTGGAATAAAAATACAACCGTAAAATGTAACAGAATGATAAAATGTGATGAGTTATGTGTGATCTCACTACAGCTTGGTCAGGTGATGCATAACTCATCAAATTCCTCATTTAACAAATTCCTCAAAGTTTTTCCGTTTCATAATACTGATTCCTCATAGGTACAACAAAAATAATACGAAGATAATGAATCCTAACCTGGCATTGCATTTAGAGGATTTGTGGTGCCAAGCATTTGCCGTCCCTGTTTAACGACGTCAAGGCCTTCCCATACCATGGCAACTACAGGTCCAGATGACATGTAATTCACTAACTGTTTGAAAAATGGCTTCTCTTGCAGTTCTTGATAATGTATCTGAAATGAAAACTTCCACTGATCAAATTTTCTCGTTTGCATACATATAGAGAATGAATTTTTGCTTTGCCACTTACAACTATACGAATTTTGAAGTCGGATATTCCATCAACAAGTAGAGCTATGAAAAGAGAAAAGACATCTCGTGCGTAGACTTACTTCTAAATGTGGCTTTGTAGCTTTCACCATTTTCATAGCAACCAATTTGTATCCTCGTTGTTCAAATCTTTCAATAATTTTCCCAATTAACTGACGTTGTACGGCATCTGGTTTGATACATATAAATGTTCGTTCCTTTGTATTTGACATCTCGCTGTCGTTTTCTTTTTCTTTGCTCTCTGAAAACAGACATAATGTAAAGTGTTCCATTCTCTTCCTTTCAAATTACACCTCACTCGATTATGCAAATTATATCCGGTTCACTAACACTTTTCCGATGATTAAACCATACTTTGTTTTAAAATAATGCGACATAAAGTTAAAAGTGTTAGAATAATAAGCACAAGAAAAAACCCCCTACAGTAGGAAAGTTTTCTGGAAACCACTGTAACGTTCGATGTTTATCTCGGATTCAATAACCAATCTCTATAATTACGGGATATCTGATTACACAAAATGATTTGGATGAATAATGCAGGAAACTGCTGGATGTTTTCGAAATGAAAGTAGATCCAACTGACAATTGGCACATTGGCTAATAGCCTCAACACGCACACATACACCACACTGAGATGTGCAGAAAGTACAGTGCGGCTGTGCAAAAATGAGCAATTGGAGAATTACATATTGCTCTTTTAAGTAAGGCGTGTATATCCAATTCTGAATATCTGAAAGAAGAAGGAAAGTACTGGCCAAAAATTCCATCTATCGGCTGCTTTTACAATCCAAGGGGCTTCATTCTTTTTTGTGATAAGTCTGTTATCATCGCATACTAAATTCTGTTAAGTTTCTAAGCTCATCTAGTTACAAACTTCATGGAAAATGGTCTCGAAGTGAAAGGGATAAAAAGGACAAAAATAACGAAGCAGTTAATCAGTACATAAGAATATTTTATTTCATTTATATAAGAATGGAAGTTCCTATCTTACAATACTTTACTTTTCCTATCTTACATTGGGTTATCTCAATCACCAAAAGGATTACTCATTGTGAATCTTTTTAACTCACAAATCTGCAAATAGTAGAAAATGACAGAAAGACCAAATAATCACTGAGAATACCTAATGGTCTTATGGCGGAATCAAATTTAACACCGAAAGTGATATATCTTTGATATTTTGAAATTCGTTTTGAATTAAGAATCACTGTTTGAATCTACTACTGTATTTTGCAAATACTGAGGACAATTTTAATAGCAATATGATGGATAAAGAAAATTACACAGGTAAGATTAGTTTGCACGTTAGTTAGTAAGGTTAGTTTGCATGATATCAACAATGTTCTATATCAAAAGACGTCAAAGAATTTGACAGAAAGAGGTACCATTTGCAGATAGACAAGTATCGATAGATGTTCCAGATGTCTGTAATGTTATTTTTGCATAAAACAGAACCAAGCATATATGGAGCGAAATAAACACCATTATTCTGTTGTAAGCGAATAAATTATACCATTAAAATACTGCTTCCACATCCTTTAACCACATTTCTTTATTCCATCGTTTATTCCGTAAGCGCAATTATTTCCTTGCATAAAACTTTCTGCACTATCCAAACTAACAGCTTGCTTGACAGCACAGAGTTTGACGAGTCCCTTCTATCCCAACATTACTGTTAACTAACAGCACAGAGTTTGACGAGTCTTTTCTATCCCAACATTACTGTTACTATAGAAACCAACAATAGCTTTCAAGCGAAATAATCCTGATCTATGTCATTTAATTAAGTGAGAAGGGAGTCACTTATTATTTATATTCATCTCTTCATAAAAAATCAAATTTCAATGAAAAAAGTAAAAAACAAAAGGAAGCAATAACAACTAAGTTGCTGAGAAATTTCACCATATTAAGATAGAAAGAACAAGTGATTCGGGAGTTAGATAGTCTGTCAGATTTATTAGATCCATCAAATATGATTCAGATTTTAGAAAGAAAAACTACATTACTGTAGACACTGGAGATGTGCTTTCTCCCCGGTTCTTTGTTGATCTGAATCGTTAATTTGCTATTATGTTGACCTGAATCGCTAATTTGCCACAAGCTATGTTGAGAAAGCTATGAATCATCAAAGGTTATTGGCAACTAATTATACGTTGGGAATGTGGGAGTTAGAATGAGGGTTTTTTTCTAAATATTAAAAAAAGACTGAAATTTTGGTGAAAGTGGGTAATAATAGCATATTAAGGAATTAAATGACATTAAAGTTGCCGAGATAGTTAATAAATATAATTAAAAGAAGAACAATGGCAAAAATCTATTAGTCTCTTCCGCTATCACACAATCAATGACAGATCGAAAAAACTGTCGCAAAAGGCACTTTCATGAAAATTTAATAGTAAAGTGACTCAATTCTCCAATTAAAATTAATTCCGAACGACAAAAACGGTAACTACGAATAGTGAAATAATTGAGCTTGGAAGGGAAACCAGCAGGCCTAAATACTTCACGAATTGTTAATGACTCCAAAGTTGAACGTAAACCACTGTGAAGCGAAATTTAAACCACGTTAACATTATGAAAATCAAGCGATTCTATAATGAAGAGGTAGAAAATGGTAGTGGAAATATGATGATAGGTTGTTTGGATTGATAGAAGGAAATAGAGACACTCATTTGCGCATTATGCTGATCAGTTGTGAATAATTTTTTAATGAATTCAGGTTAGTTACTCTTCTTGGGAAAAATATTAGAATTAAAAAGAATTATCGACAACATTGATGGCATCTATCTTCTTTTCATTTGCCATCAGAATGAAAAACATAAGTGCCTTACTAACTTCTCACCTTTACTTTACTTTGTTCACCGTATTTCCTACCAAATTAGCATTTTACTTCTAGAAATTCCTCAATAATATTTGTAAAACTTCTCTAATGGCAGTGTTTTTAGTTTATACGCTAAAATCTGTACAAATTTCATCGATTTATTTGAATGAATTGGTTATCAATAACTCATAAATATTATTAATACCATCCCTTACTTTTCATTCATTGAATTTTTGTTTATCAGGATTTTTTTTTTGTAAGTAATTTATGAAAATCAAATTACATTCAATATGATGCTTGATTCCATTGCAAGAATATACAGTTTTGGTAAGAAATTTCTAATCTTTTTAGTTAAGTCCAAAAAGCTATGAAATAAGAGAAGGAAGAAATTATAATACATCAATCAGTTTCTAAATATGATTGCAATATCCACTATATTTAACCTTTAACTATTCCCATGTTCAGCTTTTACAGCATCTTATTTATTCCACACGTATATCCCGCGACGTTTAAATATTTAAATATTGATACATCCCATTTTTTTGAGGAAGATAGCAACAAATTTCCATATGTTTTACGTCATTTAATCTTTCATTAAACCCTCAAATTCTCACCAATTCTATTTTCTGTAACATCTTCAAGCTTAGAGTTAAACTGAATACTGTCTAATATTTTAAAATGGACAAAAAACATCTAACATTCTTCAGCTCATAATTAGTAGACGGTTGAATGCATAGTGTTGCAAGTTGTACAATTGCTGTTCATCGAGACGGCTGCTACGATAATTTTTGAATTTTTGATTTGGTTGGAAAAATATGACAATTGCAAAACTGTCTCTACTCTTTAAAAATATTACATGTCCTTTCTAAAACATTTTAACTTATTTAGTTGGAAGTAACCTTGGCCTAGGTCCTTTCATTATAACATTATGTGTGATCCATCTTTCTCTTTGGTTGACCATAGCCTTTTAGGTTAACTTGATGACGAAAATTCTCATGTTTTTATGTTGTCATGCTATGTGCTTGAACGATGCATCTTTATATTAATGACATCATTGCTGGCAGCTTTTGTGTATCTCATTTAGAAAGCAACATTTTTGCACTTCACTGATCATTCATCTATCTCCTCTTCTTCTCTCCTCCTTATCAAAAAAAAAGAAAAGGGAAAAAGTTTTAATTAGACTTCTAAGGATGAAAAAATAGGAATTGGAAATGTGAAATGAAGTTTTTAACTTTCTTCTCTTATCAATGGCTGGATAGAGCTGATGAAATGAGGAATGAAACAAGAAGATATATATATATCTGTAGAGTTTTTTGCTTTATAATTGATGTTCATGTTAAAACTTATCCTTTTGCTATTGTTGACATAATGAAATGTTATCATTATGATTATAGCAGGTAAGTTTATCTATGATATTATGAAATTAATCTACAATCAACATTATTTAATTTACTGAACTAAACATAGTAACTAAGATTGTTTTTTCTCGTCTCTGTTGTTCCCATTTCATTTTTCCCACTTCCATCCCATTACTGAAAATGTATTTTAAAAAGAACGTCAGATTTTGGCCATTATTTTGTCTCACTATACCCTTTAAATGACCTGTCATACGATAAAGAGTTCCTTTTTTTCTTCTTCCATAAATTGCAACTTACTGTAACAGGCAAAGATGGTTTAAAAAATAGCTTCGTTTGGATATATAATGACAGCTGCAAAATAATTTATGAATTTCCACCGCAGATAAAATTTCTCGATATGACATTAAAGCATTTAAAATTTCAACTTTTCTGGCATTCTCGAAAAACTGTACGTGCCTATTACTTGATAATATATCCGGTGAAATGTATGGTTGTAAAAAAATAATCTATGGAAATTACATTTAACCATTCTTTCAACTTCCTCAAATAGCACTTCCAAATAAATCAAGCCGCCTGTGATTGATTTTGCTGTCTGAGAAAGCGATATAGTTATGTTTATGCCTTCATACATCTGCATAAATTCTCGCTATTAGTGCTTTTAAGCCATTGTGTAAACCCTATCTCATCCAACCTTCTACATGCTTTCTACTTGTAAGGCCTGCTTTATTCTAAGGACCCCATTAGGCTATAGAGAGAAAGATTCAGAGATGAAAAAGAGCCAGTCAGAAAAATCGGATTTTCTTTTTGCAGCATTTCCCTTTTTCCATGCTCTCTTCTAAGGTTGCATTCAACTCTCAACAACTCAATCTATAATAAAAGCATTTTCATCATTGTTGTACACTTGGGTCAAAGTGCTTTTAAAAGAGATAGAGAAAATGTTCACAGATGTTATTTTTACTTTCTCTATCTCATCAATTTTTGCTTCTATATTAATATGATCTTTGCATCTTTAAAATAATCATTTAATAATAATAAGCACTTATTTTTCTCAATTCTTCTCCTTTAGCACTACTTTTTCCATTTTCGTTCATAAGCCTCTCTTTAGGTACTATTGAACACTTTTTCGCATGGAAAAATAAAAAGAGAGGATTTCGCAGCCAATATTATGACAACAACGATGCGACGACGCTTGCTGTTTTTCCTAAAAAATTAACGATGTAATCATCTTGCTCGGAAAATAGTTTGTTTGTTTTCTAGTCTATCGATCTTCTTTTACTCTTCTTATAGTATCAGTTTTCTAAAAGAGGAATATTGCTTATTGCATTCATAGCTTAGAACCTCTTGATCGCCTCATTATTAGCCCAATAAGCATTAAGAATCATTTCTGCACAGCTCTCTCTTTGTGCCTGAAGAAAACTTACTCTCCTAAGTAGTATTACTTCTAATTCAATTATTAAAATTTTTCACACATTTTCTACTAGTTTCATTCTACTTCAAATTTTTGTTTCACTGAATAGTTATCTTAAAATTGATTGACTTGGTTATTCTTGCATTTTTCTAATTTGAAATTGAAAGAGTGGAAAAGAGAAGAAATGATGTAAGTAATTATATTTTAGGTCAGGTTGTCACTGATTTATCTATCGTGCGCTCAAGCAATTTTCGTGACTTTCACGAATTAACCAACATATACATATATATTAACATAAAATCTCCTCTCATTTTATTTATTGATCTACTTATTCTGCATATTTCATCAGGCAATTGGGAATGGTGCAACATATATTTATTTCATTTTCATCAACAACAAGAGAAGTGACCAATAGCTATCGAGCGTTACCACTATGGATAAAAGTACTGCTAACTCTATGCTTCTTGCCAATTTCTACTGCGGTGAAATGTTTGGATTGCGTTGGTAAGGATTGCATGGGAACATTTTGTGAAGGTGATTATTGCATTCTTGGAGTATATGCGCCACGATGGGGAACTGTTGAATGGGGAGAACCACGTATTGTTAAAGGTTGTATGAGTGGACGAATGCTGGAAAAAAATATCAGGAGTCACTGCGAAACTGCTGATAAAGATGGCGAGGTTCTGTTTTTTCCCACTTTTTTGTTTAATTATGCATAATTTAAGTGAGTGAATTTAAAATTCGAAATAAAGCTAAAATATGAAATCACCGATAATAGATTGTTTCAATCTAATAACATCATTTAATTATATTTTTAAATTAATAAGAAATATTGTTTGCTGGATAAATACTTCGCTAATTTAAAACGTTATGAACGTCATTCTTACAAATTATGAAATCATTCTTTCATGATAGAAAATATAAAAGGTAATGAAAATAGCAGACGAGAAATATGAATTTTAAAATCTTCTTCATTTATTTATTGATATCAGAAATTTGAAGCAATCCTTTTGGTACTTTTATTTGAAATATTAAAATAATTTTCCATTTTATTTCTTTTTATAACAATCTTGCAATAAGATAAATGCGAAGGACAAAATTGGATGACGAATAATGTAGTTTGTAATACCAAATCGCATTATCCATTCTAATATCACCCAAATGAATATATTAATATATAAAATGAGATTATGAAAATATTATAGATTTTAGTGCATATTACTCAGAAAAGAATCGTCATTGGGAATATTGAGGTTTTTTTCGGGTAGTTCGTTTTTGAGAACCTATAATTTGTTATTTAATAATGCTTAGCATATTTAGGAGTTCCAGTGCAAGTCATTCTGCTCTCAACGAAACTTCATATTTTTGTTGATATTACAAAATTCAAAATAAGAAAAATAAAATGAAAAAAAAGGATGATAGATCAATTCGATTAATTTTTCCATTCAATAAAACAATAAGTATTACTAATGAAATGGAACAAAAATAAAATAAGAGGTTTGTGATTATGAAATATTCCTTTATTCCTTTAAAATATTCGAATTTATTATCAAATATCTTATAGGAGCCGTTTACTTGCTTTTGTGATCGAGATTACTGCAATAACGACAAAGCAATCCGACGATTGGAAAGTGCAGTGGTACCACTTATCACATGCGTGTGTAAAGGAGCTCATTGTGAGAGTAAAACTTGCATCGGTGAAATGTGCTCTTACGTGATCAACCATCGTACCAAAAAATCTGAGCAGGTCATTTTCTTTCTTCTACTATTTCAGAATCTTTAAGGAAAGAAGATAACATTTAAAATCGAAATAAAATATGAAATTGCTTTTTTGTCTAAATTTTTAATGCAGATTAAAAGAAATTATAATATTAATTTATTTGGAAAGATGAAAATTGGATATAATAGCTAATTTATCTTATGTAACATCTTGAATTGATGGTTTTCAGAAAAGTTCAGCACTTTTTTTCCTTTTTATAATTTTAATGTTCCTTCCACTGGAAAATTAGTTCTCGGAAGTGCACATTACAATATCGGAATGTTTATATTTGTGCGCGATATCATGCAAAAATTTTATTAGTTAGATTGAGTTCTGAATAGAATCACGATCATTATAACATTCTTTTTATGAAATGTAAAAGTTAGTGAAAAAGTAAAAGATTTGTTTAGGGATGTGTGAATGCCTCAGTACCGTTAATAGAGAGGAGATCAGCTGATTCTTGCATGATTCCACCTATTACCGGTGCTATGCATCATACCGTTTCCAAAGATCCACATGAATTACTCGCAACAGAATCATGTGTATGCATGACTGATTATTGTAATAGTGAGAAACCGAAAATTACGCAAGAGGAAAAAATGAAATGTCAGGCATTCGTCACATTGGAAGCAATGGGAACCAAGGTAACAGTTTGTAAACAATTAACTCTTCTATCTTCTTTTACCCAACAAAAAATTCGACAATTCAAAATCTTCATTTTTTCGGAACTTTTGGCCATATTATACTTGGACACTAACAAGACACTATATTGTTCTTACTTCCACAATTTGATATAAGGCCTATGAAAGATGAAATAATTGATATGAACATATATTCATCCAAGCGATCTAAATTTCTGAATTTATTGAATAGTTAATGTAAAATATTTTTCAGTGAATAAATTACCATTGAAGAACATTGTAATTAGTAATATTTTTGTTCATACTCCATTGATTTTGTAGGTGTCATCGCGAAATACAACTTGTACCGGTGAATTCTGTTTCAAAGCTTCCATCAAAAGTAAGCTTGGTCATATGACAGAATATAAAACGATGGGTTGTGCATCATTTCTAGACGGAGCTGAACTTGCTGAAGAATTGCAACCGACTGGTTGCGCGCGATTTGAATCTGAAAAAGTAGAAGTCGAATCGTGTTTTCAGGTAATTTACTTGCTCTTATATATCTATAGAGAGAAAGAAAGTTTGCAGTTAATTTTAATAAAATGTAAGGATATTACATCTGATTTTGGCAATATTTCGATAAATGATTTCGGCAATATTGGATAATCTTACTTGTACTTGAAGTTTTTGTATGTTACTAGAAAGTTTTTATTACTTAACAACATTTCTTATTAATGACACAATTTAGACTAACGACAGGCGCGCAATAGGAAGAGCTCGAGCAAATCAGGAAACTGTTTTACCGAGAGGGAAAAGCAAGCAATTAAAACACAGGAAAACAATGAAGTAAATTCCTATCAACTTTCGTTTTTTTCTTTCAAATATATAATAAACTCAAGCAGATGACAATAATTTCAATGATTTTAGGAAGCCACCTAAAATGGAGGTAAATTATGAAGATGAAGAGAAAGAAGAGGAAGAAAGAGAGGAGGACGAGGAAGAGGAGGAGAAAGATTCGAGGAAGAAACAAAAAGGTGCAGGAAAATAGTATCTCTCTCAAGTTGTTTTGTTCTTTTTGAAATTAAAATGAAATGGATCTGTTTTTGACATGGTGAAACTTATTTAAAAATAGTTCTTGAAATTGATGCAATAAGATTTTGTTGGTATTCTTAGCGCTTGCAGAATCCTTCTGCATCATTTTAAAAATTTTGCTTTAGCTACCGAATATAGTATACAGTTCTTTTCTTTTTACCAATATCGTATCCGATTGCAAATTTAAAACTTATTGCTAATATAAAAATTACAAATAAATTTTAAATTTAAAGTTTTAAATAAAACTTGTAAATTATAAATAAATTTTAAACTTTAAATACAAAATTCAAATTATTTGATTTGAACAAAATGCCATCAATAGTGAGGAAAGAGAAAAATTGAAGAAACCTAAAAAGTTAGTAAAAGAGTATTTGCACTTTTGCTTATTAACTGAGTGGAGAAAACGTATAGTATAATTCCTATGAAAAAACTTTAATTTTTTATTTTGAAGGAACTTTTATGCAAAAATTTTTCTGAATCGGATTTCAAATCTGGATTATTGTTCTGTTCCATTTCACGAAAGCTTTTTGCATATTTGATTTAACGAAATTATTTCAGGTATAGAACGTAAGGAAGGAAGAGGAAGAGAAGGTAGGAAGGAAGAAGAAGATGAAATTGAGGAATACGAGGACGAAGGGAAGGTGAACGGTAAAAAAGAGAAAGGAAAAAGCAAAGGAAGTGCAGGAAATGAAAACGAGGAGAAGGAAGAGTATGAAGAAGAGGAAGAAGAAGATAGCGAAAATAATGAAAGAAAGATTAAAAATAAAAAGGAAGAGGAGGAAGAAGAGAGAGAAGATAGCGAAAAGAATGAAAGAGGGATTGAGAATAATGAGGAGGTAAATGTATTCTTCGATACTTTTTTTCATTTTTCATGCTTCACTCACCTGATGATGTTAGTTTCACGAAATCTGAAATGAGATTAAATCGGATAGAACTGCTCTGATATGTATCCATTGATCGATCGATGCTTAATTTTTATTGTATTTCTAATCGCCATAAAAACAAAATAATTTAAAATAAGCCCAAAAGTTATTCTAAAAAGCCCTGATGAATTATTTTTGTTATTAAATTGTTTGTTTTCTTTTCTAAGCCTTTTTCTCTTAACATCCTTTCAATAACTGATGAACATTTTTAGACAACAACAACAACAATTTTCATATTTGAGAAGCCAACGGAACCAGCGATTCCGGATGATTCGAATATTACACTGATAACAGTATTCATTTTACTTATGGTATTGATAGTAATGTCTGGTGCGGTATGGAAATTTCAGTTGCATAAGCGATTATTTCGCGCAAATTACGACACTGTAAGCGGATAGTTAAACTACTCTGTTAATTAATTTCATCCTACTTAGGCTTTCCATTTAAAATAACAATGGAAAAACGTAATTTTTTTAACAAATAGAAAGTATTAATAAATGAAATATTGCAATTAAACAAAGAAGGTCCTGATTCTGCTTCAATTTTTTAATTTCTTCTATTTCCCCTATATTAGATTGATAAAGTGATAATATTTTCGATTGCTGAATTGCATTACTTTGATTTATTGGTTTCATGAAATGTAATCACTTTCTTCGGGTTTATAATTAAGCTTAATTTTATAATATTTTTAACAGTAATGCTACTTTCACAAATAACTATTATCGTATGAATACTCTCAAAGGAGAACAGCCGGATTTCTCTGCTTGTTTTCTTCAAATTAATTGAGCAAGTTAACGGTTCAAACCGAACTCTGAGGAAAGTATAAATGTTGATACTTACAAATATATCGAACTTTTCAACAAACATATTGCCAATCCAAAACACAGAAAAAAATCTTAAAGAATTTTTTCTGTATTTTGGATTGAGCCGCTTTTAAGATGCTTGTTATATTGTGTAGTCTGTGTAATTATTAATTTGGAACAATATCCTTTGAAGTAGATTATTTATAATAATACACTATTATTTATAATAATATAATATAGACAAATTCTTTTGAATTATCGTTTCTCTTCGCATCGTCAATTTGCAGAATTAGTTGCATCCAGTTTTCAATCAAAACATGGAAGCAAATTCCCAAAAAGAATTGTTAAATTCCATATTTAAATTTATTACAGTTTCGTATGAAAATAATATGGAAATATGCTAACTATTTATATTACTATATCGACAATAGAATACCACTGAAACATTTTTCCTACAACAAAGAGTGAATTGTGTCTGATATATTAATTGTAAATTAAATATGATCATGATCTCGCTTTATAATGTCGAATTTTTATGTTCTGCGATAATGAATTTTGACCTTATTTCAGTGACTGCTACCATTGCTTTCATAATACTGTCATACTACAAAGCAACATCAATATAAATTACAGACAACTGCAATCAAATGAAGAAATGAGTGAGTGCTCATAAATTTCAATTTAACTTCTTTGTAAGAGAATCGGATGCTTTTTGTCCTTTTGCGTCAAAGACAAAAATTTGAAATTGAAACGTGAAGTTCTGCTAGGTAATTACAATGGATATTTGTTTCAAATTCCTTAAAATTTTACATAGTATAATTTGCTGTTATAAAAGGATTATATGAAACAGTTTTAATCATTTACCAAGTGCAGACAGAATTGCATATTAAAATTTATTGAAGTGATAAAATAAAATTATTGAATGAATTGAAAAAAAAAACATCAACAAAGAGTTTAGTAACTAACCTGGTCAAAAGCAACGAAGGTATCAAAAAATATTGACGTATGCTAACGTAGTGAGGTAGAGATTAAGTCCAGAACTAATTTTACAATTTACTCGTTACATTTTCATATAAAAGAAAAGATTATGAACTTAAGTTATATATGTGTCAATATTCATAAATTGATATATGTACCTCACTTTCGATTATTCGACCAGTGATCACGAAAAGTAATTAATAATCAAAGTATAAACAACGTTCATCAACAATGCGGAATCACCAATCATCTACTTGAGAAAACTTTTAAGCAGGAATTAAATATATATCCAAGAACTAATGGTTCCGCATAATTAAAATTCAAAAGCAAAGGCAACGATTATTCGCTCTTGTGTGCAATTCTGCTACAAATTCTATAATTCTGTATAACAATAAATGAATTGTTGATGGAAAAGTAATAAACACGCTCATAGAAAGGAACGATAGAGAAGTAACATTATTTAAAAAAAGTTTTTACATTGATACAATGGTAAGCCCTGTTAAACGGACAGAGCATAGTTGCAAAAAAACTAACTTCTAATATTGAGCAATGCGAGCTATAACTATGTTGCACTTTCACAACCAGGAGTTTGATTTAAAAAGGGAAGATATAAACAACAATTTAAAACTGAAACTGCCTTTAATTATTTAAAATCAAAAATGCAAAAAAATATATATTTTAAAAACAGGAGTGACCGCTCGAAAACATCAGAATAACTCAAAATACTTTTCTCTGTGTGCAAAAATTAATGAAAAAAGAAAACTTATCGATTCAACTTTTGACTAAATGTGATGACTCATCTCAATATATTTCTTATAGTAAATTGAGAGTACTGAGAAAAAAATCGCACACAGACTTAAAAAGACTTCAGCTTCAAATCTGTGGCTATCAGCGAATACAGATTTATTACAACAAACCCTACTCAACACATTCGTCTGTACAAATCGGCACCCTAATAAATCCGTAAAAAGAAATTATCGACAACAATATCGGAAAAAAAAATGCATAAACAGTATGTTCAGAATCTTGGAAACTTCACTGTTTATAGATGGAGAAGAACCCCATAACACCAAGGGAATAGAGGAATTGCTTAATTTTTCCATATTCATAAGAACTACCTGTTTCTTCGGTATTTCATTGTATATATTGTATATGTTGTATATTCAAAAAAAAAAAAAGCTGAGTGACGAAACTGAATGTGTAGGACCACTGCAGGCAAGTAAAATTCTGAACTTCCGAAAACACCCAATAAGTCATGCAAAAACCAATTCTTCCATAATCTAAAATTTATATAGCAATAAAATTGTAATTTATATATCAATAAAAATATGTCCCGCATCGACAACTACATTGAGCAAGGCAATAATATTGTTTACGGTACTTAAAAGTGATAAAAATAAAGACAAGATGAAACTTAAGACGATCCTATTATTTAATAAAAAGTATCGTTCTTCATAAAACTAAAAGTTTTAAGATCTGCTAAATCAAAACCTGGATAAGATTGTCGAGTCCTACAAAATATCCATCTTCATGATTACCAAAAATCCATTCTCGCCAATGGTTTACTGAGTCTATCTCCACTGGAATCGATTTCGCAAAATCAATCATCCATACGTTAGCATATGTTGCATCATACATTAATAGCAGTGAACTGCCAATAACCTGCAGCAATATATATATATATATAAAGGTAATTTCTTTATATATATATATATATATATATATATAAAGAAATTACCTTACAACACAAATAAGATTCAGATATTCGGATCAAGGTAATTATGACGATTTCCCGTACCTCACACTGAAATATATTTGCAAATGCATAGTGTAAAATTAGCAAAAGCAAAGATTTCTTACTTCATGAGTTCGGAAAAATAATGATTTTTGAACGGCTTCTCGTAATCTTTTCAGGCGCTGTAAAATATGAAAACCGGTTGTTGATATGTGTTGACCAAAAAATTCCAGCAATGTCCCACTGATATCTTCATGCGTTTTTACCTTCTTAAAGCTGTTTTGCAAAATCCCACCTGGCATCTGGAAGATAATATTTCATTTAAAACAAAATTACAAGTTGCGAAATATCACTTTAAAAAAAATTTATTTCCCAGAAACTTTAGGAGCGCCTTATAGCAAACTAACTTTAGCAGCCTCAATCCTATAACCCAGTGTTCCAGTAGAACTCTCCTTTTCTCGAAACTGCATATAACGCATTTTCGTTATAGCTTTAGCAACATGTTCCTCCTCTGTAGGCTCGTAAGGATCCAATGAAACCATTTTTTCATACAAATCGTTTCGTACGATTTTATTGTTAACCTCGGCTTCCAAAAAAGTTCTGGAAGAGTTTAATATTGCATTTTTAAGGAAGCATTCTATCAAAAGATTGCAGAGGTGCAACATAAAAAAGGTTGATATCCATTATCATGGGATCATCGAATAGAGCTGTGATATTTTCGATTTCGATAAAGCCTGTAACATCATATCATTTTATAGCAGACAAAAAAAAAAATCACATTTCGAAACCAGTAAGCGTTCCGCAAGTACACTTGTTACTGCAACATGAAAGTGAGAATCAATCAACCGTACACCAAATATATCATTGTAAATATCTCCGTTCAAAGAAGCTTATTCTAGAGATATCTATGGAAGGAAGTGTTCTATCAAAAGATTGCAGAGGTGCAATATAAAAAAAGGTTAATGAAATTACTGAACAAATGCATTAATGATCGCTTTCAACATTTTACCTCGTTCCCATCTTGATATCCATTATCATGGGATCATCGAACAAAGCTGTGAGATCTTCGATTTCGATAAAGCCTGTAACATCATATTTTATAGCGGAAAAAAATCACATTTCGGAACCAGTAAACTTTCCGCAGGTACACTTGTTACTGCGGTATGAAAGTGAGAATTAGTCAATTGTACCGCCAAATATATCACTGTCAAATATCTCCATTTAAAGCTTATCCCATAAATATGAAATGTTGCTAACGAGGAATCTAAAACAAAGAAGTCAGCTTTGGAATTTTACGGATAATACAACTTTTCAATTATTTTTCTTCTGCTTGGATATATAATATTATTTTCTATACTGAAAAGAAAAAAGATGAATAAACATCTAAGAACTAACAATCATTTTCATATTCGACTTCTCCATAATATCGAGGCACAAAACCTTGCAGTATGGGATCATTCATTAACGCACAATATGCATTACTTTCATTACAATTTCTGCACGATTGTTTTTTCCATAGCGCTTTGTCTTTCGCAGGAACTATTGTTCCTGTAAATTTAAAAGAAATATTCCAGTAATCAGGATGACATAGTTATGGCTAAAATAATCAAAATCAAGATAGTAGGATGATGGATATGACGAAGGAATAAAAAACAATTGAACATAAAGAGACAATGCAGAGAAACATTGAAGAAATTGAGCAGTAAGAAAGATATAATATACGGTAACCGCATACAAAGCAAAATGGCAACGGTAGTAAGGAGGACGGAAGAAGAGCAGAGAAGAAGCAATCCAACCTTCGTGTCCGGACAGCTGCACCCATTTCCTCAGGCGCTCTTTCAGCCAACAATCCAACGATAGGGCTGTTATTGCCATCGTATCTGCCAACCCTTAAATTGAACTTTTCATTCTCAAAGCCAGTCGAAATATCTCTCACCCCTCTGAATCATCCTCACCCGATTTTGTTCAATCGCAAATCGAATTCCTACCAGATATGAATCTCATCTTACTCTCTGCATCTCTCTCCTATTGCATTGTTCTGCGAAACCTATTAAATATCTTTGCTTCCATTGTAGCTTTTTGATTGAATAACAAATTAACTAATAAATAAATAAATGACCCGCACCATTAGTGATCGTTGCTGTAGTGGTCACTGTAATTGAAAAAAGTGGATAAAAATGGGGAAAAAACCGATGAACATTTTAGCTCGCATATAGAAATGAATATTTGAAATATTTTTAAAAAATGTTGAACCTTGCTTTTAATATAGTGAGTCGAAATTCAATCTTCATTTTAATTCTTCTTTGCTCCGTTTGATGCAATTCATCTTTGAAAACATGGAAATTACAAGTACCATGTACGTATTACATTCTTACTTATTTATTCACTTGTTTATTTATTAGCTTATTCATCACTGACATATATA